CGTGATCTTCTAATTGTCAGTGGCTCTATGTGCACTTCACATTATTCATAACGTTACAGGGCTCGTATGCATCTGTAAACAATTGTTGGTGGGGCAGGGGTGCATGAGAACGTACATGAAAATCGGCACTGTCAAGTATCCAGTAAATACTACAATGTAGTACACTCACTTCCAATGACACTTTGTCGGTGACCAATGTCCGAAGATGGTGAATAACCATCAAACTATGGTTCGTGCCCAGTATAAGCAAATCGTTCGAGCCGGCTACACACAGAAGCTGAACAGGTGACGGCGGAATGCCATACTTTTTGGGCAGCGCCGCTGACAACTCAGGCAGCTCTCCATCATCCACAATGATGGTTGTCGACGACGACTTGGTGCCTGCGGATGGGGAGAAACGATCCAAGAGCTTGTGGAGAACGCCTCTCCGCGCACATTGTCATACACGCAACAACTTACCACTAGCACTGGCCATCCTCAAGCAAATCGGCGCACGATCACTGGATCAGCCACTCAGCTACGACAATAGAAAGTTTTGGAAATAATTCAAGGATTGTCTAAACAGCACTCATCCGCCTTCCTCACGACCTGAAACATATTCGTACTGATATGTCGGATACTTTTCGTTCCGAAACTTATGTGTCTGGTCACCAGCAATGAACTACGCAGCTGGCATATTAGTTATTATTACTTCTGTCGTCTCCTCCACAAATCGTTCATGAAATGAAAACAGAAAGGTACTTCCACACAATCATAACAGCTACAGCATGCGAGCATAGCACTGGCATGCAGCCACACCTGCAGGGAAAAGGAAAACAATACAGTCATGATGTCAAATTTTGCAAAGAGGACACGTAATCTTTTCCACTTCGATTTTTTGAAAAAAACACACGTGGTGCCTCTGTACGGGACCGCGTACCGGTCGGCGGGCACGGGCGACTCGAGCGACTCTCGTACCACTGCCACACACTGGCTCGCGCTCGGCTAGCCCTGGGCCGGCTAGGGGAAATGGACTGTATATGGCGTGGACAGCGTGGGTGCAAAATCGACAGGCCCATGCGAAACGATAGGCACCTCGGCGAGTTTCGTCTTGATGTTCAAGACTTGTTTGGAGAAAGTCGCAGCTTGCAAAGCTCCGCTTGATGTCACTCCTTTTGGAGATGTGAACATTTTTCTTGTGACATTGTATTTTCCAGTGTGCCAAATAAACGTGCAAGACAACGGGCTTGAAGTTGAGGCCTTTTGCCATGGCCATGGCCATGGGTTTAGCGAAGTGGTAACGGTGGGGATTCCCAACACTGAGCCTGAGCAGAGTTACAATGAATAATTATTTGCTCAGGGCCGTGACAGCTTGGTCGTGTTGCTCCGGGGTTGCTGTCCGGAGGTGTTGTAATTCGATCAGAGCAGGACCAGTGAAAGGCACCTGCAACCTGCCGCTACGTCTTGTGCAGTTTCGCAATCAAGATGATACGGGACGGGCCAGAGTAGGTGCTCAGGTAGTCGCTAGCGACCCTCGGCCAGGTCAGGATGAGAGTACGGCTGGTGCCAGCAGTACTAGCAGTAGTGGCGAGATGGTGGACATAACTGCGGCAATACCCGGTATTGGTGGAGACATGAAGCAGCTCCTGGAAAGTGGAGATGTAGGAATGAGAGCAGTCAAACAGTGAGTGGTCCATCATGAGAAGCAGTAGCCAGGCGTGTGCCCCGTATGGGTTCCTGGGTGCCCGGAACCCCCCTTTTTTTCGCTCAAAATGCAGGATTTTGCTTCATTTTTTCAAAATTTTCCGGGGGGGGGGAGGTCCCCCGGAAACCCCCCTTGAAGGGCACCGGCGCACGCGCCTGGTAGCTACTACTAGCATGCATACTACATAGTGACCACGTGTAGGACAGACTGAGACCAGTGTCAGTGTTCGGATGGCGCGCCAATATCGCACTGCACGAGTGTGTTCAGATGGCGCGCCAATACTAGTATCAAACTGCACAAACGTCAGGGTGTTTGGATGGCGATATACAACTCATCATGCTCCTGCAGTGTGATAACTGTTTAAAGCCTATTTTTAATAGTGCACAGCGGGTTCGCAAAATAAAATAAAATTTAATGATAAATTGATAATGCTCAAAGCTGCTAGCTACATGTCGCAGTGATGCAGAACTCCTTACGAGCTTGTCGCGCCGCTCACAGTGACTCACACCAACACTATTTTCTGCATTGCTCTGCATCCCTGAAAATGATATTATCTGTGCTCGGCGTGACGCGAACCTTCCTGCACGCCTGTTGCAGTTCAGTGCATTTACTCAACTGGTCAATACAATTTTTCTTCCTCCTGAGGCCAGACTTGACAAAGGGAATAAATAGTACATGTATACCGTGAGAAAGGGAGGAAGAGGCCGAGAGAGAGAGAAGAGAGAGAGAGAGAGAGAGAGAGAGAGAGAGAGAGAGAGAGAGAGAGAGTAGTGTAAGTTACATTTATAAAGACAGGTAAGTCTAACAAATGAGGACTGAGACCTCTAACAGGGTTTTTACGCCTGAAAGCAGGTGCATGATTTAACAAGCAGGTTGTCAGTCTAGATTTTATGCGCAGATGGAGAAAAAGCGCAGAATTTTTGTAATGAGATGAAAAGCAGAAATAATAAGAAATAATAAGAAAAGATGAAATGAGAGAGAGAGAGAGAGAGAGAGAGAGAGAGAGAGAGAGAGAGAGAGAGAGAGAGAGAGAGAGAGAGAGAGAGAGAGAGAGAGAGAGAGAGAGAGAGAGAGAGAGAGAGAGAGAGAGGGAGGTAGGGAGGGAGAGAGAGAGAAGAGAGAGAGAGAAAGAGAGAGAGAGAGAGAGAGAGAGAGAGAGAGAGTGAGTGAGTGAGAGAGAGTGAGAGAGAGAGAGTGTGAGAGAGAGAGTGAGAGAGAGAGAGAGAGTGAGAGAGAGAGAGAGAGAGAGTGAGAGAGAGAGAGAGAGAGAGAGAGAGAGAGAGAGAGAGAGAGAGAGAGAGAGAGAGAGAGAGAGAGAGAGAGAGAGAGAGAGAGAGAGAGAGAGAGAGAGAGAGAGAGAGAGAGAGAGAGAGAGAGAGGGAGAGAGAGGGAGAGAGCTACATGTATTAGAGCCGCTTGCGGCTGGTACATGTAAGTGCTCACGAGCAGTTGTTTGTTTTTGCACATGTACCTTATGTACCTTACGTACCTTTGGTCAGGTCTGTGCATAGTACACTACATACTGGTAGCGGTTTCATTCTCAACTGGTTTGGAGGGTGCTGATGATGAATTGTGCTGCTGGGCCTACTGGCATCGATCCTTCAAATCAGAACCTTAAAGAAAAGGTGTGCCTGCGTGAAGCATGTTGCAGTATGCATGTATGAAAGGAGTTATTCCTGTTGATAGGCTGCCATTGCTGCTGCTGCTGCTTCATATCATGTTTGGTTGGCCAACATGTTTTTAATGTTCAGGGCAATAGAGTCAGGAAAACACCGACTGGATTCTAGAAACGTGCGCCTGTGTGCTCCTATTCTGAATCCGGACAAGATCATCTGCGTGGGCCTGAACTACCACGACCATTGCCGTGAACTCAACTATCCAGTACCGACGGAGCCAGCCATCTTTAGCAAGCTGTTCAATGCTCTTGCCGGACCATTGGACGACATTGTCATGCCAGATGAGACGAAAGTCAGTGACACCTAGGCGTCTTAGCCTCTTAGGACATAGTGTTGAGAATCAGCGCACACAGGAAGACGGATAGACTATCACAACTTAATCCTGTAGATGTTTAGTTTGTAATTTCGAAGTTTGGCCTTTCCTAATAATTATCATTGTCTCATTTTAAAAAGGTTGCGGCTGGTATCAGAGTCAGACAGCTGAGACTGATTTTTCCGTATCTGTGGTAACGGCGAAAGCCCTAGAAAGCTCTAGACCTCGGTCTGATATACCCTTTGCAACATTTGTGTACAGTTTTGTTTTCGTGAAGGTTACGCTACACACACCGCGAGTATTTCTTTTTTTCCCATGTGATTGGCTAGGAACTGGACTTTGAAGCGGAGCTGGCGGTTGTAATCGGCCAGAAAGGCCACAAAATTCCTGTAAGTTGCCTTCTTTCATGAGTGATCCAGCACAACTTGGCCTGGCGTGGGACTTATTTTAAAAGATCTTCTGAGACCGTTCACCTTGCAGCGTCCAAGGCATGTGAGCTGGACTTGATCACTCTTGATCATCCTTGATCATCCTTGATCAATGGCTGATACTGTTTCACCTTGATTAGAGTATTATAATGTGAAGTGACTGACATGCAACGCTGTTCTTCATCTGGGCTTATGAAAGTTACGCTCACACTGAGAAACAGCGAGTGAATACTACACGTTTGTTTGGTCGTGTGTTTCAGTTGTCGGAGGCTATGTCACATGTTGCTGGGTACACTGTTGCACATGATGTGTCGGCTCGCGACTGGCAGCTCAAGAAAAATTCGGGACAATGGCTCCTGGGGAAGACATTTGATGGCTTCTGCCCAATCGGACCGGCAATAGTCACGCCACAGGCCATTTCAGGTAGGGATCCTTGTCAAACTTCCAATAGTTTCAGCCAAATGAACCATGTCCCAAGTAATTAGTTGTGGCCCGGACCTTTTAGCCTGCCCCTGGTAAACAAACTCAGTCAGTCCACTGGAGAGAAATTCTGGTTTAGGAGATGGCACTCCAAATTCCTCCCAAGACCTGAGATACTGTTTAAAAAAATAAGGATGTTTCTTTGTTGTGCCGGAAGCAGTTTTTGATTGGTCCGGTAGTATCATTGCCTTTCATACTTTGTGTATCGATATGGCGGGTACACATGGCCTCCACAGTAGGACACATGTGTTGGTTGCCAAAAAGGTGGTCGGGTGATAACCTGACGAACCGGACCGGTTCCGGCGGGCCTGTTGTGGACTGCTGGTGGAGTACTCTGAATCGCTTAGTTTGCATGCCAGGATCTCATCGTTCATATCTAGTCACACCAGTGATCTGATTGACAGTGATCTCCCTACCTTCAGAATATTGATCATGGTTTGCAGCAGGAGTGGTATTGGTTCGATGGTTGTGTTGTTGGATTTCCCCGTGTAGGGTCCTTGTGAAAGCCAAATTAAATTCTGGAACTCGGTTTGTCTTGCTGGGGTGGGGGGTATATTTTATTTTGTGACGAACCCTCTCCGGGATGACCCTGAATCTGCCTTTGTCTTTGCTTTACTGGCCACAGATCCTCATAACCTTGGTATTCGGTGCCGAGTGAATGGTGTCACTCTACAGAGCAGCAGTACCAGTCAGCTTGTCCACAAGATAGACGCCATCATTTCCTTCATTTCCAGGTACTACAATTATAAATCGCTAATGATCCTTGGACGAAATCAAAGTAAATTTGTCATTTAGTCATGCACTCAGTTAAGAACACTGCTTTTTGCCGCATGTCCTGTTCTGGGATGCGACTGTAATGGCCCTCCAAATTTGGCACCCCTGCTGCTGAGATTGAATGCATTTTGGAGGGCCGCGTGTTAACTTAGTTTAGTTCTCTGCTGAAAGTAGAAACAGAAGCGTGATTGACGGGTATTGTCTCCGTGTGTCTATTGGTCTGCTTGCACATGTATAGGTTTGTGACATTGGTACCGGGTGATCTCATACTGACGGGCACTCCGGCTGGTGTTGGTGTTTCTCGAGTTCCACCTCTCTGGCTACAGGTGAGGCGGTGTGCCTGTACGGATGTGTGCAGTTGTGCACGAGTGCTTTGTGCTTGCTGTCAAGCGATTCTAACACTGAACAATGGCGATAAAACAATGCACGCAACTCCTGTTTGGTAATACATGCTATGATACTAGTGATGTGCAGGGCATCTTGCTTGTTGTGGCTTTGCTTGACATGGCCATGCAGCTACCAGAAAACTGAAACTCCAGTATTGCTCATATAAGCCCATGGGCTCCCCCCCCCCCCCCCCATGCGCAGAATTACGGTAGTGTTTGTAAAAGTCACCTCAATGTTTCATTTACCTTTCTATGTTGTCTTCTTTTCGTCTGTTGATAGAAAGGAGATGTGGTGGAATGTGAAGTGGATGAGATAGGCACCGTCAGAAACCCAATCGTGTAGAGGTGCATGGCTGGGCACCATCTCTCCGACGTTGTATCATTCTTTTATACCCATTGAGGCTTTTGTCTTGTAAAGACTAATTCTTGCTCGTGATCTGGTTTAGTTCATCCTCGTTTTAAAATACTATTATGTGGTGCATGCCTTGATTTGAGTTTTTTTCTTGACTTGAGTGCTTTAGCAATGCACACACTAATTGGGGACAGTGTGTGTTTCTACGCTCCAGTAAGTGACACTTGGCATAGTGATTACAAGGATTCTGTAGTCATGCAGGTTATCACCAGGGAGTCGTATTTTACGACTCCCTGGTTATCACCTCTACATTGTTGCGCGGCTAAATTCTTTTCAGTTCTGCAAGTGTGGTCTGGAATGTGCGATAACGCTGTTTTTTACTGGGGAAAGATACTGCACATGGCAGTCGCTTTTTCAGCTTTAGCTGCTTTGCCTGCTCAGTGTGTGGCAATGTGCAGCACCCGAGCTACATCCTAATTCCTTGGACACAATTAAGAACAACAATCACTCGCCACTGCTGAGTGTCAGGATAACCTCAGTTATTATTTTTACCTGTCATTACCTTCATCGACAGAACACCATCGGCGAACATGTGCATGCATGTACTAGTAGGTGTGTGCGATGATATTGTTGAAATAGTAATTATCGTCATGGGTTAGGTGGTCATGTGATCATCAGATGAGTCATACATGACTGAAGTAAACAAAGGCTGGCTGGAACGTTACGTACTGAACAAAGCAATCGTGTACTCTAATAAATTCATACAGAAAGAAGAAGGGAAGCCTAAAAGACGCTACGCAAAGACGGGTTGCTTTCACACACATGTGCTGGAAAGGCTGCAGAGCGACTTTTCAAGTCCAGGATCACATGATCTTGGCGGCAACAACAGCGAAGTAAGCACGACACAACATGCACTCGGAGTTAGACAGACAAGAACACAGGATAGAAACATAAGCAGAAATGCATTTCTGTGCAGGCAACGCATAGAAATGATCAGTGAAGCATGCTCTGCGGCCGAACAAAGCCAAGCAATGTGCAAGCAGGGATCTAGATGAATTGACCACTGTGTACAGTGGGCCAAGCCTAGCTTACACGGAAGCTGTCTAATCATGCCCGTGTGTACACAGGGGAAATACAAGTGAAGCGAGCATTGCCTACAGCCGGCTATACACAACGCTGCGGTCTATGGGACATCAGCTGCTGTGTTGTCTATGGGGAATCAGCTGTTATGTGGTCTGGACAATTTCATGATTGTCCAACACTATGTTCTAAAATTGAGCACACATCTACATTGTATAATATCTGTTTTGTGACTAAAGACTTTAGAAAGAAGAGGACGGGTGGTCATGACAATGATTGCCGTGAGAGATCGCGGCAGAACAGTGCATACCGAGAGCAGGTAGAAACTGCGAGGTCATTGCTGAAAATCAGCGGACAAACTGGCGATTGTTACTGACACCGAGCGGCCGTGAGGCAGGCTTGGCATCACCTCTACCTGACTTGCTTTTCCCTAGCGTCTTCTTGACAGGTTGGCCGGACGAAACGACTTCCCTGGCAGTGTTCTCCTTTCTACTACTTTCCTCAGACAAGGCCTGAACAAAACACCAACAGATACACACAAGGTCTGCTAACTACAATAAAGGAAACGCTAATACATGTACAAGATTCATGATGCCAAGGCTAATTTCTCACTGAATGGACCTGATGGTAAAGTGGTTGGCATACTAAAACCATGCAGCTGCAATGGAACACTTGAAGAGTTGCAATGCAAAGCCTGCTAAGCGCCAAAAATCGAGACACAGGTACGAGCTGAAAGCTCATTCAGATTTGGGGACAACTGAAAATCGAATTTAGCAGGTTTTGCATGCCAGCTCTTCATTTCTAAAGCAACAGAAATGTTTGAGCCTACAGGCTTATAAAGAGCGCATCACCGCAGGAACACAAACACAGCAGAAAGGTTAGGAGGTTACCGGTAGGTTGCACATCATCCATATTAGACGTATAGTATGTAGTGTGTACAGACTTACCAGATCACCAGAGGATGTGGACATGTTCGTTGGAGACGGCGTCTCTAGCATGCGACTATTGCCCAGCACCGTGGGCGATAGGGCTGAGCTGAGGTCAGCAAAGCTGTCGTCAGTCTGTGTGTGAGAGTGTGTGTGTGAGTGTGATGGTAATGGAAGAGAGCACATTGTGAGCATCCAGACAGTACTCATGATAGTAATGAGGATGGGCAAACATCCCGTAGTGTGGATTCACAGCCGGTTCATCATCAACAACAACAACAACGTGTTGCAGCATGAAAACTCAACAAAATACACGCACGTTCACACTCACCATGTCGCCGTTGACCTGCGAGTACGAGAAGACGTCATGGAACTGCTTCACCAGGTCATCAGTGTGCGGCTGCACGGTCAAGCGAGCTGGGTGCGGGAAAGCACGGCGTGCCGGTGTTACGCCTAATGACAGGAGCCAGCCAGAAAATAAGTCGGAGAGCAAGGTGGTTAGAGATAGAGGAAAGAGACAGAGAAAAACTGGAATTTCAAGTACCAACTACTGTAGTTACTAGTTACTACACAATGGTGAGAGTAAGATGACAGTCAACGGTATGCACGCAAACATGTACATGTACAAAGGCATTCCTAGCCCTAAGAATGACACGATGGTGCATCAATAGTATATTATACGAGCTCGTATCATGTACCGCATTTTTGGAAATTGGCGCCACTTCATTTCGGCGCGTTTGTGTCGATTTTTTCAAATTGCGTGAAATTTTAGGGCTCGCAAACTAATAAGCGCCTCGGCCGGCATCGCCAAAAATACGGCACTACAGCAACTTCTCACCGGTAGGAACATCTCGGCTGAATTCGCAATCGAAGAACTGCTCGACACGCGAGTTGAGCTCGGCGGTGGATGCGCACCCAGCCACGATGAGATGCTCGAACGCTGCTCGGCACTCTGCATTCTCCTGCTCTCCAGCATGGTGTGTGCTTTCCTGTCTTGTGATGAAGTCATGCATGGTAGCACAAATCTTAGCTTCCTCTGCAGTCATGGTTGTAAGAATCTCCTGTAGAAGAGAGAATTACATAGAACATGACGAGCAAACAATGTCAGTGGAGTGGCTGATGGCAAGATATAAGATGAGCTATTGAATGATTTGCAGCTTGTACAGGTACTTCGAAACATTGTGATGTTTATATTTCACAACAGCGAGTATACATTGCGATCCTCTACTTGTCTGAGTTTGTGGTGAACTCATTCTGCAAATTGTTTACTCAAATCTTTGGGAAATGGGGCCATATACAGTGAAATGCGTCTATGCCGGCTACTAGTACTCAAGGGGCCTGGCAAGTGTGGTCTCCATGTACAGAGGTGGTCTTCTTATCCAGGGTCATTTGACTGGATAAAACATGCCTTGGTCCTAGTTGTAGTGGTCCTCTTGGACAGTGGGTAGCCATATCATAGTGGTTGCCTTGGCAGGTTTTTATTGTATTAAAAAATACGTGGAGGTCGAATGCAACAAGCAAATGGTAGTTCATTAGGTGAGACAAGTGCAGCACACATGCACTCGGAGTTATCCTTACCCGTTGGCTTGATCGCACGTTAGAGCTATGGCACTCTATACTGCTGAGATGCCGGTCCAGCATGTCAGTAGACTCCTGCTGCATATCCATCGTGACCTGGAATACGACGAACAGCGCAGCAATCACAGCATTAAAAACAATTCTCACCAGCACTGAAGACGGAGGACGAGAAATTGAACAGATGAACACAGTAGGAAATTGGCACCCCTTCCCCTCCTGCTCAAGGAGATGAGAAGAACACTGACTCTGTCAAGATAAGCTAGCAGCAAACACCACCCCATGAACTCACCCTGTCAACAGTAGACACAAGTGTACTGACGCTGTCCTGGCATTGTTGGCCACGCTGCTTGATTGCTGAAACACTACCGGTCGCCTGGGACATGAGAAACGCAAGCCAACAGTGAACACTTGTCGAACAAGAGCAAGCAAGCAAGCACACACACACACACACGCACACACACACACACACACAAACCGCACACATGAAACTCTGGCACATACAGGAAAATCCGGTGCCTCTCACTCTTCACACGGGCGAAAAGATGCTCCCTTCCCCCTCCCCAGTCCCCCACATACCTGCGAATACTTCGTCTGGACGCAGTCGGTAACGGCTGCAGCGATACTGTCGGTGCGTGTTGTCATACTGCTGATGTCATCACTGGCCTTGTCGATACACTGCTGGACAGACTGACAATGCTCCTCTTCCTTCTGTGTGGCCGTGGTGAATGCACTGCACAGCTGCCATAGTCATGGTACACACAGCCACACACACAGCCACACACACACACACACACACACACACATGGTACACACAGCCACACACACACAGCCACACACACACAGCCACACACACACCAGGAGAGTAAAACAGCAAAGAAGGATAGACATTAGGAAACTAGCAATCTTCTAGAGGAGGAGAAGAGGGAAGGAGCGGTCAACCAGCACCATCGCATCGCGCAGCATCTTTTCCACTTTATACACAAAAACTCAACTAATGATGTAATTGCATAACATCTACACAACAGAACAGCTTCTAGTGGCCACGTTACCATGCCAAAATGGAGCACTCACACAGGATGTGTATGCAGCCAATTGTTTTCCATATAAACTGTATACGTGTACAAACGCTTTATACCACTTGCGGTTTGACAACCTGCCTAATATTCACCCACGGAATTGCTTACAAATACAGGAACATAAATGTCTTGATTTTCAAATGTCAAGCTGCTTATCAAACACGTGTGTACAAACAAAGCTAAAGACTGCACAGTCGACATGTTATAACCCCACGCTGCATACTTACATCAGACAGCATGGACTCCTGCAGGCGTCTCATCTCCTCCATCCGCTCTTGCAACACGTTGGAGCAAAGTTGCAGCTGAGAGCCCTGATTTGCACGAGATTGACAACACGACAACAGGAAAGGTTCAGTCATGGTGCTCGTCAGGTGCGTTGGGTCCTAAGACAACTAAGTACAAGGCAGCAGACAGAGCCACCGCAGTCACCCTATTCAGTATCAACAGTACTGAGCACATGTGTTACACCAAAGTCTAGCTGTTCATGTTTTAAGTAGGGGTGAAACGAAGGTCTCAAATTCCCATTCGAACCTTCTTTATTAAAACGAACGAAGGTGTCGAAGGATTCTTTTTTAGCATGATCACGGAAACGCTCAAAAATCTTAAAAATAAAAAGGGGGCAAAAATCAGAACCCAATACTTATAATTGTATGTGCAATTTGTTTCTGAATCTGGTGGTATCAATGTATCCATTCCAGGTAAGAAAATACTTTGGCCCAGCACACAACTATAGATAGAGGCAAGGTTTTAACATACTCTTGATAGAGGCCATACCTAATACCTGTTTGTGAGTCAATTGTCCATATTTCTGACAATTTAGATCAGTGTACTTGGGATCGTGTACAGACCTGCTAGCCTTGGCCTTTTTGACACAAAGCGACAAGAGATCACTGCTCTAGTATACAGCCAGTTGCGTGCTTGAACAGTACCAAAATGGACGGAAAAGAGCCATATTGCGTAGTAAATATCAGATGCCCAACTTCATCAAAAAATTGTCAAATCTGGACATGTACTTTTCGCTTATCTGCTCGCATCCACTGGGTGCATTGGTGATTGAGAGGAGAGTGAATAGTCCCTGGGTGAGGAACTTCACCTGCCTCGATGATTTCAGGCAATCGCTGCGCTCCCTCTCGCTGCTGCTGGGAGAGTGAATACTGCAATGGCTTCAGCGATGGACACTTTTATTTTCGATTTAAATTATGAGACTACACTCGTATCTCTGCTACAACTTTCTCCAGACACCATCACTAGCAGATATCGACGGCACCTACAGCAAGCTACATTCCTGGTACAAGCAGCATAACTGAGTGAAAACACGATCGAAATCGCAAAACTACTCTCCTACTAGTATCGCAGACCGCCAAACACTCGACGAATACAATCAAAAAAGTCATCCATGAGGCATGAGTACACCATGGTAGATCTACACACCAACGCAAAACGGGAACACGCTGGTGACTGGAACCAGGGAGTAGTACTACTCCCTGACTGGAACAGGGCCAGTTCTTCACTGACTTGTCACTTCTTCAGTTCCGGTGCGCACGCGGACCGTGCCCCTACTTGTAGTTGTAGTACACAGACTGAGTACAGTGCTAGTGCATGCAGCACATCGCACAAGATCAATGCATTGATGCATGTACTAAACCCGCGTCGACCTTCGTTCGAATCAAAAACGAAGGTTCGTTTCAAAGGAAAACGAAGGTCCTTCGAACCTTCGACTACTTCGTTTCACCCCTAGTTTTAAGTGAACACAGAGTGCTGGGTGAGCAGGCCTGGTCCACTCCTGTCAGCAATACACCCCGGCAGAAAGCAGACACTGCGCAGATACCATCACTGGTGATTAGTGAGTGACAACTGTGCGTAGTATGCCCATGGTGGCTACAAGTGGTGTTCCGGTGCCACAAAGACTGCAGCACTCTGGTCAGTGTGGCCTGCAACCATTGCAGATAGAAGAGGGAAAGGGTTTGAATACAGTATTGCAATGCCCCCGCCTGCCATTACCTGGCTCTCCTTGTGACTCTCCTGAAGTTCCGACAGGGCACGCAACTGCTCCTTCTGCTGAACGGCGAAGGAATGTAGTTCAGCTTCTTGGCTTGACAGCTGAGCACATCACATTACGACAAAAATACAGCATGTATATGCACACAAGCCTTCATCAATTGCTCACCTATTCACCTATTCACCTATTCACCTATTCACCTGCTCACCTATTCACCTATTTCCTCTAGAGACCCGAGAATTACATGTACGAGTTCGAATATCACACATCATTCACACAGGCAATGAGAAAACAATACTCCTCACTCACAACTCCAGCACAGGTTTTATTGGGGATGATTCTAATTCAAATACAGTAAAACCTGGGTTCAGCGACCTCTGGTATTAGTGACCACCAGATCTTAACAACTGTTTCTCCATGCACCGGCAGTTCCGCATATAAACTGCACCGGAAACAGCAACCACCTGCCTTGCGCGACCAGCGACCAACTTTTAGTGCACCAAGTGCCATATCTGACCTGCAGACAGCCACCACACCTAGCCAAAAGTGTTATCCTGGCGGGCAGGTTTGACTGCAATAGGGGTGAAGTGCGCTCAGAAGCGAGTGCATGCAGTCAACAAAAGTGACAAGTGACAGTACATGGTGTGCTGCATGCACTTGAGCGAGGTGTGAAACTCATGGGTGCTTTGCCTGCACGAACGTGTTCTATGCTCCACGCCTGTGTCAATATGAGTACAATCACCATGTACATGGGTGTACATATACACGATCCGATACCATATGCCGCGAATGTATGGGACCTCGGGTAAAAGACCCCACCTGGCTTTACCAGTTTTGCTTGTACAGCCCTAATTGTTTGTAGATAGCTGAATGCTATTGAGGGGTACGCTCTGCACTAGTCTGCACCACTCACCTGGTCCAGGACACCTCTCTGCAGCTCAACCAGAGTCTCAGACAGCAACGGCAGCGTGGCCTGGATGCTGTTCAAGGTCGGCACAATCTTGGACTGGCATCCGCTCGATACAATGTCACGAGTGCTGGCCTGCACAGCAGCACACACGAAGAATAGTGAGATCAGGCCTAAACTACTAGTCATAGTAAATGTTTGACATGATGCACCTGAATGGGACAATCGTACAACGGTCAGAAGTTCGGGTTCAATGAAATATTATTCATGTGAATAGGGTTTGCCAAGTTGGCAACACATTCTCTCCTAAATCAAACTTGGTACTTACAAACGCCTTCGTGACATCTTCCTTGGCACGGTGGACCGATGCTTGGGTTGTTGAGAGCATAGACTATACACATGAAGGGGAAAGAACATGAGCAAAAGAGAGGAACACAGGAATTCAATACGCTTCCTCTACACGAGAGGTGTATCCCTGTACGTTGCCCCGAGTGGCTTTGATCTCGGTACACACGTACACAGGTACTCACATGTCAGCCAGTCTACCCATACTTGTCTCTCATGTGCCTATCCATCAATCCTCTCTTTCCACTTGCCACCGGATGTGCAGTCCGCCATGTTGGCTACTCAGCTAACTTCTGCATGCCTGTCAGCCCAAACACATATTCTATCAGCACTCGCTCTCACAACTATTGCCCCTTTGCCGTGGTCACTTTTCAGACACAGTGCAACATTCTCAACTCTTAACACCCTCTCTCTCTCTCTCTCTCTCTCTCTCGCTCACAACGTTTGCTCCTTTGCTGTGGCCACGTTTTCAGACACAGTCCGGCATAGTAACACTGCAGAGTGATCGTCTCTATTATGCAATCATGACTGGAAGGCAACTATCACCATTCTCTGTTAGCAGTTTGCAGAGTATGAGGTTGAATAGTGAGCGGTGAATCTGCGGACAGAACTGTTTCGTCCTTTGTGGACTCATCAGCGCAGCACAGAGGAAATGAGGCCGAACCTGATAGCAATGAAACATACATTTTCCAAAGCCAGATTTAAACTAGGCCCGAACGTACCTTGCCAGAGTGCTCAAACTGACAAGTCAGTGAGCTCTGCATAACGCAAACAGTAAAGGCACTACCCCACACAAGATTGCTCAACTGCTACAAGAGCAGGAGCGAACGTGAGCGCTCATCATTGTTTCATCTGTTTTGCATGTGTCGGGGGATCGACTTTCACAGTATGAGCATACACGGCTCCCCTGACCTACATTGTACATTGTACTTCAAGTACATTTCATCCAACATGCTCTCAACCCCTCACCTGTTGCTGCGTGTCCACAGCCTGCAGACCAGTCTCAACACTGGACACCAGTCTCTTCACCTGCTCAGTGACCGATGACACTTGTTGCTGGCTGCATTCCAGCAAGCCGGCGAGGCGTCCGCTCAACTTGGTCAGAGATTGCATTTGTCGCTGAAGGCCATCCTCCAACTCTTCCTCCAGAACGTGTACTTGCCCGGCAAACCCCTGCAGAAGGAGAGGGAAACAACAATATAACCATGCATACAGTCATAAACTACACTCTGTCAACCATACACTATACTCTGTCAACATGACTACACACTGTACCCTGCCAACAGAACCATGCAGGCACACACTGTAAACTGTACACTGTACTCTGACGTAGTAGTATGCACACACTGACACTCAAACAAATCTAGGAACAAGAGCATTTTGAGACGTGTAGATGATTGGTGAGTACGATGGCATGCAGGGTCCAGTGCCGTATTGTATTGCATTGCCTTGTATCGTGTCGTATTGTACTGCACTTCAGCACAAGCTGAGCTACACGCACACAATAGAGTCAAGGGTCCATCTCACCGCACTCTGCAATACGCTACAAAAGCAGATAATTCACAAGACTGTCGAGAAACCCTAACACACATAACACACACCAAAGCTGCATCTCATCTTATGTTATCATCAGCAAATGGCGCAACAGCCAACAGCCGTACAACATTGTACCAAAGTAGATAGATAGAAATTAGAGAGACTACTACCCATGCAGGGAGCTCTGACCAGGAGACTTCAAGCAGCAATGCCCAGCTTACTGTATTGTATTTACATCAGGAATGGAACTCACAATGGATAGGACAGAAGCGGAACGTATAATTGTGCTCACATTATTATATTACTACGCGTGCTGTGGTATTTTTTATTACTATTATCAATGCCCAGCTTAGAGTTACCTCTCTGAAGCTGCCAACCTCCTGCTGGTTTGCCACGTCCACGTGTCTTCTGCGGTCCAGTTTGGCCTGTAGGCCGTCGACGTCCTGGACAGAGGCGGTCACTGCACCGAGCAGCGCCTCGCCCTCGTTCACAAGCTGCTCGCTGGTGGCCTGGTGCTGCTCGCAGAGAAACTTGTTCTTCTCCCTCTCCACGCGCGTCTCCAGCAGATCCTGTAGCAGTCAGCAACGGCCATGCGCAACACAGCAACAGTCAACAACGGCCATGCACAACACAGCAACACACCAATGACCAAACAACAAAATGCTCCCAACAGCAACTATAGAGAGCGTGCGTGGGCAGGCGTGTATTTACCGCCATATTGCCAGGTGTGTCTTTACCACCATATTTATCAACCAACAGCAGTTATGGTAAAAAAAAGTTCATTTCTGGACAGCCACCCAAAGGTTAATTGCAACATGTGTGATCATGTGGACACTGGAAAGAGTGGCATGTGAAGCACTCAACTAGACCACTGAACTAACAACGTCTGAAACTCCATTGGTCCCTTGACTCACCTTCTTTGTTTCACGGAGACGTGTTTTGGTGTTACTGAGCTTTTCCTGGGTTGCCACCAAGTCCTGTACGCGATAGAAATAAAAGCAAAGGAGAGCAATCTCACCGACCACGTACAGAGCAGCAACATGTGACGTGTTTCTCATACGACAAAGGCAAGGCTAAGGTGGCAGTCGAATCACAAACACTCCCAACACGAGGACAGCAAATTCTGACAAGTGACTCCAAGCACTGCGCTACCACCCACCTGGTGCAGTGCCTCCAGATTCCCTTGGCACTCTTCCAGCTCTCCAGTTGTCTTTGTGAAGAGAGCAGACATCTAAGGAAAGTGAGAAAGCACAACAAACAGTTACACTGAACTCTGACATGACTACAAGATGCAGGTTTTTAAGAAGTGCAGCAAACTCAACTGCTGATGTTTTACAGAAGCGAGCGGCAGCCTGGAGGTGAAGCAAACAGGACAAGGCAAGAATCTCATGTAGTCGTAAGCAAACAACTTACAAGACACGCCAAGATAAGACACGGCAAACGGATCATGTCTGGAGCAGTGCAACGTCCGTACGTCATGAAGGGAAGGATTATGAATCAGGATCAAGACAGTAAACAGTAGTATTTTCTGGTATGTTGTATATGCCTACTCGTAGTGCCTACCTCAGCCAGATCTGTTGTCAGCGCCTTCACCTTAGTCTCGAGAACGGCAATTCCCTCAATCTGGCTGGTCAACGCCCTGCAAGAGACACCAGGAGACCAGGAGGAAGTTGATGATGACACTGATGCTGTGGACAAACAGCGTTGGCTCAACGATACTCTCGACTAAAGGTGGCAGACGAACCCCACATAACGTTAATAATTATTAGTACACGAGTTGCAATGGTCATCTGCAGCTTGTTTAACAAGCATTGAATGGAATGAGACCACTTGCGGTTGTGATGGTGCAGGGGTTTTCCCCCATGTATCAATGGGATGTTAGAGTTGCACAAGCTGGCGGACTTACGAGTAGTTTTCAGGTGCAACAAATATGCCATTCCTGTCACGACAGGCCGCCAGATCTCTCTTGAGACGGTCAATTTCCTCCGTGTATTCCTACGCAGTGACGGTGGCAACAACAACAACAACAACAACAACAGCAGCAGCAGAAGAAGAGTAATTGCAAGTTACAGAAATGCTGGCTAGCCATCGAAGTTTCGTGCATCTATTTCATCCCTAAGAGACACACCTGGCATGCACACTGTGCATCATAGAGTACATTGAAGTTTTCATCGCAGTTTTCTGAGACACATTTCTGAAGTAGCTTCGCACCTCAGAAGAATTGCATAGCAAACTGCGATGCGATACCGGTTAAATTATTCCCTGTAATCGTGTGTAACCGTGGAAACTTTTTCCGTGTTGTTTGTGAAGAGGCTGAAGTTTGTTCTTTTTCTAGGTGTGATTGCTTTTCGGTCTCCAGGAAAACTGAGTACCATACTTTCTGGGCTCATCAGTAAATTGAATGAAATCACATTGGTACGATTTCGGATGAGCAGGAAGCTACCAACACAGGAAGCTACCCCCGTCCAACGAGAATGCTGGCAATTCACCTTGATCAACGCTCGCTTGGTCAGCTTCTGGTTGACTTCCGGCCGGTTGGTGATGTTCTTGGCACGGTGCGCGTAATCCAACGTGCTGATGGTCTCCTCCACGTTGATCAGCGCTGGCGACACGGTAGCAATGATACACGTCTTGGTACGACCACCCAGTGAGTCTTGCAGCAAACGCGTCAGCTTACTCTCCCTGAGGTGCCGCGCATGAAGAAAAAGCAACACAACAGAACACGGGCAGATGGTTTCAGACTGCAGTCGACTTCTGATACAACGAACGCCAATGTGCAGGAGGATTAGCTCTTTATAGCTGAAGTTCTTTTATAGCCGAAATGCACCCACACCATACAAGCAACGCGTGATGACTGGTATGTGGCCCATGACAGTATGATTAGCTTACATGCGGCCCTACAAGATACGGTTCGTTATAAAGAAGAACTGTTCGCTACAAAGGGTCAACTTTGATGGATTCAGGGGCATGCACAATGGTTCGCTATATTACGAAATTTGCTATATGCGAGTTTGTTAAACATGTAAGTGGAGGTGTGTGTACCAACATGACTGTGAAAGCAAGAACACAACCACACTGTTGGACACAGCGCTGTGCTTAATATAATTATTATTCTTGTATATGTCCCGAATGGGACTCACGACGGCAGAGTTGCCTGTGAGCATGTGTGTGCGAGAGTGCGAGAGTGGGAGAGTGGGAGAGTGCGAGAGTGGGAAGAGTGGGAAAACAAAATGAAAAAGAGTAGTAATAGGTCAAATTTAAGAATACCGGTAGCTTTACTAGACTAACCCTAGACCCGTATTCAGGATGCAGTAAAGATTTTAACTTCACATGCAGAGATTGCGAGCTCATTGCAGAGTATAGATTTCAACTAACCGATATGGAACGTGAGGAGCGCGGTCCACCAATGCGGTGATCACACGGCCAAGCGTTAACAAGCTCTGATTGATATTGCCTGATCACACAGCACAAAATACACACATACACACGCACACGCGCGCGCGCACACACACACACACACACACACACACACACACACACACACACACACACACACACACAAACAACAGTTCTGCAAGATGAAACCCAAAGGGTCGAATTTGGCGTAGTATGCCAAATTTCGACGTGAGATGCAGCCCACTTGCGTTGTATTCCAACGCCCGAGGCAAACGACGCGAGCGGAACTTTCGCGTCACGTCAAAATAACGTGCAGCGCTACCTCTCTAATAAGAGTTTGCTTCCTATGATGGTACATAGTGTACCCGGCATGTTGCTACCAAGAGCTGCGCGGGGTGAGGATAATGATGAAATTCACTACAAAAAGTACATGCACCCCACGGGTGTCCGCGCGTGGACACTCAACAGTATGGCGTCACTTTCCCTGGTTCGCAGTAGATGTTTCAAAAACGTACGATATAATAATAATTTTGTAAAAATTGTGTCAACCAAGCGGGTTCGACAGAAAGGTACGAATCACAATGCAGCCGTGAAGGATTTGTACCCGAGTGCTTGCCACGGACACAACAAACAATGCAGTGCTGCAGCTGAGGAAACTATTATTTTGAAGGCGATCGCGAAGGAGATTGAGAGTCTTCTTGGTGAGGAGGAGAAGTGAGACGAAGTGAAGGCGATGTGACGTGAGGCGCTAGGCAAGGATTAATTACTTTGGTTTTGTTGTTTACATGTAGAATGTCAGTAAATCAGATCGTAGCAGGCCAACAAACTCGCACGCCGCAAAGAAAATAAATTCTGCTCTACAACGAAATCAAGCTAGCTTTGGACTGGTACTTACTTGACTTGATAGAAGGCGAGTGCGGATTCACCTCTGACCGTCTGGCTGCTACTTGCTTCGGCTCCTCACAGCAGGTCTCGTTTCTGTGGCGTCTGGAGCAGTCTTGAGGAGGTGCATCTTTGCCATGGAATGGAGACGTTCGAGCTTGTTTGGCATCGAACTGTAGTCTCTTACCAGACGGTTGAAGACGTTGTGGATACTCTCAGCACCCTGCTCAGCTAACAGCCCAAGGCCTACACCTACTCTGCTCATCATGGGCACGGTGTGCTCTTCGAGTAGGTGCAGTTTGGGAGTAATGTTTCCCAACCCTCTCTCCACAACTTGCTTTCTGCAGAGAGACATGAAGTCTTCAACGTGCCCCGTCATGGCCTGGATGTCGTCAACTGTGACAGCTTTTGCATGGCTGAAGTGAGCCCGACATTTGCCATAGCTCGAGAACAGCTCTGCATAGCGCACAGTAATGGCAGTAATGTCAGCAAGCAAGGCTGGGCAGCGGGCTTCGACGATGGCCTTCGGTGCACCGGTGATCTTCAGGATGGCGTCATCTTGCAAGGCTATGTGGATGTGATTGCCGATAAATGCGCCTCCGAAGTACACTTGCCTCTCAATGTTCAGTGACTGAAGTGCTGCCTCGATGCTCTGTGAGCAAGGGCCTTCAAAGTCTTTCTTCAATCCTTTCTTTTGCAATTCGGCTGTAAGTTTTTCAAGCTCTGCACATAGCTCCTGATGCTGCTTCGTGAGGTTCTCCCATGACAACTGCAAGGCACCAGCAATTGCCTGTACATTCAGTTGCTGAGTCTGATGAATGGCAACAAACTGCAGTAGCTGCTGCACCGCTGCCAGCTCCTGTGCTTTTGTTGCAATTGAACTCTCAAGGGCTTGGACGGTCTTATAGCCAGAGAGTAACGTGGTGAATGCGGAGCTGTCGCTGGCAGCTGTAGAGCCCTGCATGGCAAGCTGGACATCGATCCGCTTAACCTCTGTCAGCATAGCGCTAAGGATCCAGGGATAGATGCCTAAATCCAGATGCAGCACCGGTATTACGACACTATGCAGCGGAACGGGCAGAACTGCGGCACGCAACACATTGTTGTACAGCTTTGCATTCTGATGAACGCTGCCTGCTGCCTGAAACTGTTCAAGATCATGAGCCAGCTGGCCAAGATTCCTTGGGACAGTGTTGGCTGCAGGACGCTGGTCTTTCGGCTGGCCGATATCCTTCCGCGTCGAAAGGCAATGCAGGCAAGGTCGTTGGCCCCGCGCTCCAGACAATCCGAACATGTTGGTCTGGTACTCGTAATCTCCAAACAAGAACACGTCGAATGACTTGCCATGCCACGTTTGCTCTGTGAGCAGGTTAGTCACTTGCTGCCTGTACCGTCCCATGGCTGTCTCCAAGTTTGCTGGACTGTCCTTTTCACTGAACACAATGATCGGTATGGTTCTAGTGATGGAATTCGGATGGGCCACATTGGCAATCTGGAGGCAGAACTTGAACATGCCGCCGCCGTGATCTCCTCCTATCTTTACCCAGATCTGGTCATCGGGTATTGCCCCTTCATGCCACGTCAGCAGTCCCTTGGCGTCATACCAGTCCAAGTAATGCATTACAATGGCGACCAAGTCAGGGAAGTATACACAGTTTGTGAGCTGCACCTCACCTTGCCCATTCACCATTGGTATCTTCTCTGCTGTGTATGCTGGTAGCTTGGTGGCAATGAACTGGCGTATCCCCTGCTCAGACTGTAATTGTACATTGAACCCTTTCAGCCATCTCCGGAGCTTTCGCAGCTTGAGCCATGGCAGGTTAAGGTCGGCTTTGATGGCCAGTGCTGTCCCTGCTTCTGGGGTCTTTGCGCCAATGCCAGCTTCTATCAGCAGCTTATCTTGCTCTTTTTTGGACATGCGCTGCAGGCCAGCTACCTCTTGCGCTCTAGCACCTTCATCACCACCACACACAGACCGTGCAATATTTTTCATTTCCCCAGACCGTCTGTCTGTTGTTTTTCTGCTTGCATCTGCTGACGATATCTCTGCCACTGTTATTCTTGCGTATGTCTTTGGCTTCCCTTGTGGACTGGCTTTGACCTCCAGCTTTCCGTCTGTCTCTTTTGCTCCAACCAAATGTGCTGTAAGACGATCAGACAAAGCTCCACGCAGCTTGGATGGTGATGCGTGAACTATATCATTCGCCGTGCTGTTTGGTTTGATGTGTGGTGGTGGCGGTGTGGACGTGGGGTTGTTCTCGGGGTTGTATTGGCATTGTGCCACATGCTGCTTGAGGCTAGCGAGCGGAATGACTGCTGGGCAGCCGACGACTGATGTTTGGTAAAAATCACAGTGAATGCTCCATTTCGCTGTGACACGTTGTAGGAGTGCATTTGGTGTCTCCAGTGTAGATGCCAGCATGGGTGCAGTACAATTAGGACATTTGTTACTGCCACTCAGCCACTGGCAAATGCACGCACTGCAGAACATGTTGCAGCAGCAGTGTGATTGTACTGCACAGCCAGCAATTGAGTAACAGATACAGCACACAAATTCGCTCATTGCGGAAACATCCAGAAAACGATCCGGCGTTAGCTCAAGGTCCGCTTTGTAGCTAGGCGACGCACGCTTCGCTACAGCGTTTGCATTAACATCCATTCCACAGCTGACTTCCTCATGGTCACTATCAACAAGGCATGTGGAGGAGGATGATGATGCAGACGAAGTTAACCGTTTCCTCTTGCCCTCGGCTATCTTGAGAGCATTCCCCCGTAACGCTGGCTTTCGTTTTGCAGGCCGACCACTCTTTGACGCCTGATCTTTCTTGACACACACTGAACAATTTGTGCGTGCATGCGGAGCCCACTTCACGATCTCACCACATCCACCACCGCGCCAGACACCACCACTCTTGACATTATCTAATGCGCGCGCACACAATATACATATGCACTTGGGATGGATGTGTGGGTCATCTTGTGACACATTGATGTTGTGGACTTTCAGTATTTCCGGAATGTACTGGTCGACACAGTAGGTCATCGGACTACTGTGTGCCGCCAAGCTCACTCCTCCGATGCGACACACAGTGTCCAAGTAGGCTAGATGATCATCCATTACAGCAAAAAGGCACCAGAATAAGCCCAGCACGTAAATCGAAATTCCAGCACGTAATTGATCCAGACCAACGTAGATCGCTTGAAAACACTCCAGAGCTCAGCTAAAAACTCTAAGCTAAGCCAGGAAAACTCTACGAAGATGTCTGAAGGTGGACCTTTACCTGGGCAATATCTCAAAAGAACGACGAAGGCGCCAACAAGAGCATAGTTGGAAAAACAAGCGCTTGACTTCTCGAAATGACTTCTTTTTGGACCAAAAGGCCAGTGGAGCTCGGCAAGGACATAACACGATGCATAAACCCAATATACTGGGGAAACCTGTCTAAAGTGGGGTTAGGAAAGGCCAGAATCAAGCTGATGTCGATGAAAATTGGGCAAGAATTTGTGAGCACAGTGCTTGAGATCGCGGCAGTTCACCGTTTTTTTTATGGATGCGTGTCGCCATTTTGAATGTCGATATTTTGCGGGAAAAAACACCCGTGACCCGTATACTAGGGTAGGTATAGGACGATGGTCCTTACGCACCTCACCGGGGATAGACCTCACCGGAGGATAGACCGTCTTACGCACCTCACCGGGGATAGACCGTCTTACGCACCTCACCGGGGATAGACCTCACCGGGGATAGACCGTCTTACGCACCTCACCGGGGATAGGCCTCACCGGGGATAGACCGTCAGGATTGTCACTTACCGGCTTCACGTGCGCGTTTGTCCACAGCTCCGGATCGGCCAATGCTCTCAGATCCAGCCAGATCAACCTGCGCGAGGAGACATGTGAAAGGAACATCAGGCACAGCCACAGCCATAGCACCATATTAGCAACATGCTCGTGTAAACCAATACTTTGACTCCAGAACCGAACTAGTGCAAGCGTGGTCCACTGATACAAAACAGCACAATGACAACATGCTTGCATAGTAAGTATCTTAAATCCTTTTCTGACAACATTTATTCCTGCCTTTGTCTGCCACTAGTCAAGTTGCACTAGTTGTCCCCCCCCCCCCCCCCCCCCCCATTCGGCACACTTCATGAGCAGGAAGAAGAAGGCAACCAGAAGACAGCTGAAGTGTACAGTGAGAACCGAGCTGACAGGCTGAGTGCACAGCAAGGGACTGCAAATATGTAAGATTCCAACAGTCGACTTAGTAAGTTTCGGTTCGAAATTTGACTAAACAGGCACCCGTTTCTTTCAGCTGACGGTTCCAAAACCGGTTCTCTACCCGAATCGTTTCACCGCTACAACTTACCAAGTTGAACTTTCCGGTTTTGACAAGCTCTTCGCCATCGCAAGAGTTCTCTTTCATATGCACCGTCACATTGAAAACGGAGTGAGAGCGGCTGCAAAAACAAAACAAGCAAAAAAAGAAGAAGGGCCAAAAAACTGCTTAGCTGAAAGCGATCATGAGACAGCTGGCCTACAATGTATATACACTATACAGTGGAACTTACTTACTGGTACACTGTACTTAGTAGTTAGTACATACTCTGATATGATATCAAAAGCGTAGACCTCTAGACTTTTTCGAATAATTCAAATTTGGTTTGAGGTTTTTGAGAAATTTCTTCAGAATATTGCTCAAGAAGCTCCCGCAATTGTTCTCGTATCAATTTCTAAGCGATTGGATAACAAACGCCCAATTTTGGAAATTTATGCACAAAGTGATCACAGGTTGTCTGTAGTAGCAAGAGTACATGAAACCCAGAGTGTGCAGCTCGGATGGGTTGCTGTCAGGGTGAAATTCTGGAATTACATCATGTTAGTGATGTAGTGCGTACAAGCAGGATTCAAGCAGGTCTCTTTCTGCACAACTGCAGCTCAGTTGTACGCACTACGCCATTTCCCGCCTCAGATCTGCGCCAAATGTGATGTAATCACGGAATTCCGCCGTGACAGACACCCATAGCAGAAAAGGCCCCAAGCTGCACACTCTGGTTTTCATTGTACTCTTGGTAGCACATATGCTGGCCTAATGTTTTTTTTTGAAACCAGAGGTGTGGACTTTTGAAAGGGCACTTCTCAGTATACTGTATAGCAGGAAATTTTCGGACGGAATTTATTTTCGTACGATTTCGTACACGGCCTCTTTGAACTAAAATTAATTCCATACTAAAAGTTGTTCACGTGAAATTATGGACACTATACATTGGGTACTGCTTGCAAACACGTGCATTTAGCATGCAGCGCTAGCGAGCTGTACGAAAATAAAATCCGGACGAAAGGTCGAAATTCGGCTTCGTCCGAAAATATTTCCGTCCGAAAATTTCATGCTATACAGTAGTACGTACTCTGATAAGACATAATCTTGCTTAGGATGGACATTATGCGGAGCACAGATGCATTGGTCCACACTGAAGTACAAGTTTAGATAAGAAGTACATGTACCTTAGATACTAAGTATACAGTCATGTACTGTCCTACTGCCCATGCGGGTAGGTCTCATCAGAGTTGTACTGTACATATTATCAGTAAACTCTGATGAAACCATAATACGTACGATAAACTCTGATGAAACCATAATATGTACAGTACACTCTGATGAGACCTACCAATGTTATATTGTTTAATACACAGCGTACATGTAGCATACATGTCGGCTGTGCATGGGGACCAGACTTGAGCGGTCTCTATGGATACACGTACTTGATCTCATTAAACAATGTGCAGAGAATGGGATTTTCGGTCTTTGACCGCTTTGGTGGCGAGTCGATCCACTCACCTCTCACCGCTTTACATACAGGAGCTGCACCTGCGCCTTGATCCTTGAGGATGGTGGCGTTCCTATGGATGCGGAAAACTCGGCCTCTAGTCGAGTCTCACGTGAACCGTGATTTTTATTTATTTTAAACACTGCAATACAGCACTGGTAGCGATGTCAGAGTGCCGTGCCACGTGACCTCCACGCTTGTCGCTGGATTCCCTAGCAACCAGCTGAAATGATGGCACAAAAGGCCAGTACGGCAGAATGCCAGTCGCGGCCAGAGCGTGCAGTACTTGGCACGCGGGATATTCAAATGTGACCTGAAGACGTCAGTGACAAGCCTGGTCGTGACTATTGCCACGAAAATAGAAGATGAACTTTCGTATCTGCGTTTGTGCGGGCGCGCTGCGCCTACGGAGCTGGGAGTATGGCCGCCGACAAGTTAGCGTATGTTCAGTCGCCTTTTTCATCTCTTGCGCTGCCTGATACAGGTTTGATTTTAGTTCCATCGTGTTCCCCGTTGTCCAATTTAGTTTGCTGCCAAGTTTCACCGGCGTATCACGCCGCGCACCAGACTTGAAGTATTTTTCGCGACAGGTACTCCATTGCTGGATACACCGCCATCATGAGTGTTCGTCCAGCAAAGGGACCGGCGGTGAAGATGTTTTGTCGAGTCTTGGATTCAAGGAGCAGCAGCTATTGCAGGATAAGCCCCTGCCTAGCATGATCGGAAACGTTTCAAATGCATTGGTGTTAGAACTGATGAAGTTCAAAGCGGACCACCACCAGGATCATAATCTACTTGTCGAACTCTTCTTGTCTTGGAGAATGGCCAAATCACAACTCATACTTCGGCTACCTTTCAACAGTCTTCTTGAATTTCTCCAACAGTTTGCAGCAACAACAAAAAAAACAGTACAGCTACGGTATGTACATTTTGTACAGTGCGCAAGATTATTCATGAGCCGCGATCCCTGTTGTCAAGACCGATTTTGTGCCGTGGTGAGATCTGGTTTGTGTACAGTGAGGCATGGTGCTTTTCGACAATGGCGGCGCTTACCCCGCGCACTCTAAACTGGAATAAGTCCACTATATTTGCTCCGATTTGCTTCAAACTTTGCCAGTATACTCTACTTGTCTTCAGGAATCGGATGGTATTACAATATTTGCCCGATTCTCAAAACAGAAATTTACCCTGACATCGCTAGCACTGGAATAGACCACAACATACTGCTGACCTGGAGTGGGCATTCATTAGAGTGGCAGCCGTCTGCCTCTTTGCTGCTCCTTTCGTCATGATTGTGTACACTTCATCCTTGCTGCGCACCGGTACTTCCTCCAAGCCTTGAATGATAACAGAGCCCTGGCCAGGAATAGCAGGTGCAGATCGAAGTACAGGAAAGAAGGTATCAAATACAGGAAAAGCATTTGAGAGAACCACAGTGTTGCGCATTGGATCTTGACCACACAGTCAGCTGGGATTCAAAGAAATGCTACAAGGAGAAATCTACAATGCCAGATCCAGCAGCATAGGAAAGCCAGCTTGGGCAAGTGTGACTCTGTCTAGAGTGTCAGTCTGCAGTTTCTTACATCCTAGCTGCACCCTTGCTATGTCCTAGCACTACTCACTTTCCGTGAAGAGTCTTCATAGAGACGCAGCTTGCTGGTATCCTCGGGCGACGTCAGCAAATCAAATATCTCTTCGTTGTAGAGCTCCAAGAATGATACACGCACAGAAAACTCACAGTCCTACATGTACACATACACATGCACACAGAGACACACACGCACACACACACACACACGCACACCTCAGACCTCAGACCTCAGACATGCCCATCGCGGAAGCGATGATAGCGAACAGCTATGTTAGACATAGCGACTTGTGCTGGGATTACACCATTCAACAGCTTGCAAGGCTAATGAATTGACCGCCACTATTTTTAGCCTGGTATCCACCACACAGCTGTTTGAAGTGACTTTTTCTGGCCAGTGAATCCCTATTTTTTTTTTCATTTTCCATTTTTCCATTTTTTCTTTTTCTACACACACACACCACACCACATACTCCGGCATACACTGGCTGTTGGTAACCACCCAGGAGAATGAAAGAAAAGTCAGGAAGAGTCCGAGAAAGAGAAGAAAGACGTGTGCGACCATAATCGTCGGGAATTGAACCCGCAACCTCTCGATTGGAAATCGACTGCACATACCACTGCACCATATGGGACACACACACACACACACACACACACACACACACACACACACACACAAACACACACACACACACACACACACACACACACACACATATACATATATATATATATACAAGTTAATGCACACAGAAGAGAACAATTATGCATGTTGGAGTATGGATAAAGGAGGCTTGCAGCATTACTGGAACATGTACACATTCATGCTCTTCTTCACAGTAGTCACAGGAAGCCTGAGCACACACGTACCACCTAACAACGTGTGTGACCGATTCTACCTACATGTACTTTAAACTATATGCAACATCCAGGGATATTGAGTGTACCCCCCCCCCCCCCCCCCCCCATACACACACATGGACGTACACACACACACACACCTGCACATACATACACACACAATCATACTGGCACACATCGTACCTGGGACTCAAGCCGTTCAAACAGCTGATGGAGTGTGCGCGGAATGATTCCTGACTTGGGATCCTGTGCATACGCGCAGGTAGACACAATGAACAGAAAATTCAAATAGATTGAAAGACATGGCCTGGGTGAATGAGCACACATCCATCTTCAGGGGCATACACCACGAGTACCAAGGGAAACTAACAAAAGCCGTGTGGTTCCATTGGACCAAACCTCTGAAAGGGGATGAGGAAAGCTAGTGTTCTACAACAGGATCAACTAGTAATTCTGGTTGCAAATACCTATTTTCTCTAATAGAGCCCGGGGTTCTTATTGTTTCACTGACATCCCTTCCTGCGCTACTATTAGAAACTGTGCTAGTATTAGAGACTGTGCTAACTTAGCAGTGGAGACTGTGCTTTATTTCTTCAATGCTCAAGCCAACTCCAGTATCTGAAGGCCGCCCATATCAAGAATTTTCTAAAACTGAACTCGAAGGGATATTTTCGAAACCGATGTTTCACATTAACAGGGGCACCAGAAGGGAAGTAATAGACCAGTGTACCTCCTTACAAACACACGCTTGGCATGCTGCGCTGCTAGTTTATATGTAATCAATGTACTGCTGCATGCTCCAATTGTGGCCCATGCTACTATAAGAGACTGTGCTCTTATTGTTTTAAACAACCCTGCCCCAGGGACATTATTGGAGACTGGGCTATTATTGGAGAGCTGGGCTTTTATTAGAGACAATAGGGTAGAGGTAATGTGATATCATCATCACTAAGATACTGTTACGGTGTGTATGGAGTAGCAAACTGGCATCCAAAGCACTGATTGGCCAATCAATACGAAGCATAGGCGACGCTGTCATTCACATTACGTATACCTCTGTAGTTCAATCACGATGCTCAACTGCTAGAGCAGTTCACTGCTAAGTACATGGCTGTATGTTGCTATACCACGGGATTAGCTCTTTACTGCTGTCCTGTACAAGATAACCGTATGTTCAGAGCACTACCAGCTGGGGGAAAAAACTCCAGGTTTCCAGGAGAGCAGACCATCAGCACAGCAGGGTGCTGCACGCTCCTACCCTCACCAGCACAAACCTGTGCAAGCTAGCCCATTCATTGGAATGGCGACCCGGGTCTAGGCAGAAAAATAAGCTGCACATGCATGCGTTATAGCCTGATATGCCGAACCCAGGACGGCATACCGTCAAGCTACCATTCTCTGATGTGCACCCCCCCCCCCCACCCACCACCAAAAACACACATCTTAACGAGGGAAGTGAGAAACTCACGTCTTCCCATGTGGCTGATCCTTCGGTTCTCTCTCCCTCCATTGTGTATGTCTTACCGGTTCCTGTTTGTCCATATCTGCAGTGGGCACGGAAACAGCAAAGGGCACACACCATGTGTACAGAATGTGCACATATGTCGCATGACCTAAATACGTAAAGTTATCTTGATTTATTCTAGTCTGAGACAAGATAGCAATTATTGATAGAAACGAATCGGTGTCTGGTGGTTGTCGGTTGGTTGTGTTTCTATCAAAACCGTAAAGTATCGCCAGAGCGCCCCCTCTTGAGAGAGCGCCCCACCTTGATTTTACAGCCAGGGAAAGGAAAATCGTATGGCAGAGTGCAACGAAATTTGTACGGTGTGAGAGTGTACTAAGGTCACACTTAGCGGATTTTTGTGTGGAGCTCGTGTCCGCTCGAAGGTACGGATTGACTGCACAACGTGCAATATGTGTACAAGGTTCATGTCATATGACCTGTAGACAAGAGATCACCTCCACAATACGACCAAGAAAGGACGAGATTGCGGGGCGCTCTCGCGGTACTTTACGGTAACTGGTATCTTGATTTCTTATTGTTTTCTTGACTTTTAAAGGGGAAGTCCGGTGAAAAATTTAAATTTCAGGGTCGGTGGAGTTTCGGGCGCTGAGTCGAATGGTGTTGGTCCCACTTGTCTCCGACAAAGCGTTCTCGAGATATTTCCGTTTGAAAAAACTTAGTTTCGGGGGCTGCGCCATGACGTCATGCGGCCGCGCCACACCCTCTGCAACGTCATAGCGTGCAGCTAGGTCAAAAGGAGTGCGTGAAAGCAATAGTGTCAGTGCTATTTCAAATGATTTGGCGACTGATATTAGGTGGTGCAAGCGACCCCGAAGACCTGTAACTCCTTGTGAGAGTGAGGATGCAGCCATGGCTGACCTTCATGAGTTCGGTCTGGGGCTGAGAACCTCGGTATTCAGCTGAAGAAATGGCCGCGCGGGCCGGTCAAGAGTGAGCGCTACTGAGTTTCCGACTGAAGAAGCAGCAGCTATTGCAGACGAGGCTGATGTAATTATCAGTAGGGCTCAAACGGTCACGGTTTTACCCCTAACGGTTAACTGCTAAGCTAACGGTCGGTTTAACGGTTATAACCTATAAGCCACGGCAATCCTGCGGACTCTTTTTTAACCGTATATTTGACTATACTTATTCAAAAACTGTACCCTATTCAGTGCAACGCACACATGTACATTCTCTTGCATGCTCATTCATACATACTCTCACACCAAGAGACCAGATATGACCGAGTTGACAGCCCAGAAATTGCGTACGCGTGCGACAGCCTGCGAAAGTGCATACTTTGCAACGACCTGATACTTGAAAAATTGACTGAAAAGTTACTGCGTAACCGATATCTTTATCGGTTAACCGTTAATTCTTCGTAACCGGTCTGCAACCGGTTAATCGGACTAACTGTTTGAGCCCTAATTATCAGATCGCTGGAGAGCAGGGTCGCCAAAATGGAGAAGAGTGATGCGAGTGCTCTAAATGTTGTTCCATACCGATTAGATTCGCTTAGACTCCAGTAGCCTGCCACATGGTGATGTTTTGGTGCGAACTTGGAATATTTCGGACTACTCAATTGGAGAACAGTGCAGGCTCTTTGAACCACGGGCACGACTCTTCGCTCGCAACGCTATGGAATCTGAAAGTTCTAGGTCCGGGAGCTGTTCGCTGTTTTGTCACTTGTCACGGTTGTGCACTCATCGCTGTAGCATAAAATAATGAGGCGGGTGCGGAAAACTAAAATTTTCTTTCTCAAAGCACAACCACCGGCACCGGCAAGGAGAAACGCACGTTCTCTGACTACATGACTGTACAATACGACTGATACGAGTGTGGTACATGACAAGTCCGTGTGTTGACTAGTTTTCTGAGTCTTGTGTCAGTTGTGAGTCTTGTGACATGAGTTTGTTGACTGCACTACAACTAGATAACACACTGCATGCACGCAGCGCAGAGCGCGTAGAGTGCCGTAGACCATGTAGACCTGGTAGACGGGCTGACGGAAAAGTCCAACTCGGAAACGGCTAAAATACGGTATAACCTCGAGGTTTACCGAGCTGAAAATCACAGGGTACGTAGTGTTTGTAACACTGAATCGAATGGTCTTGGTCCGAAGAAGCTGCGACAAACGGTTCCCCAATCGAACGCGCTCCGAATATGGCCATTTTTGTACACAACTAGATGGTGTGGATACCTGGCTGCACGCTGTGACGTCATCACCTGGATCTGGGTGATGCGCGCTCAAATTCGCACATGTTCGATTGGGCGTATCTGATGAACCATAAGCCGCAGCCTTCTCGGACAAAGACCATTCGACTCAGCGACCCGAACTCTACGGACTGTGAAATTTAAATTTTTCACCGGACTTCCCCTTTAATTCTAGTGAATTGAGGAGAATGAGAACAACATGACAACACACACTGGCACCACACACACAGTCTCTCACACCCACACCGGCACGCACACGAGCGTCTTCACTTACGCAAATACGGTACAATTGTAGCCCTGGAGAACTTCCTCGATGATAGGCAAGATGACCGACTTGTAGACTTCAATCTGACTTGCTTCAGGACCAAATACTTTGTCAAATGAGAACGTTTTGGTCTGCTTGTCCGCAGACAGGGTCAGCGATTTCTTCTTTGACTGGCATTCTATAATGCTGGGAGATGCCGCCTTCTTCTCAGCTGAATTCCTTGGCCTGTATACACACACACACACACACACACACACACACACACACGCACGCACGCACACACACGCACGCACACGCATAACCAGCAGCAGCAGTAGCATTGATACATCGTATCTCCACCAGTAACCTACAGGAGCGTAACTAAGCATGTAGGCATTGAACACACAACTGCAATGTATGGAGTTACTATGGACACTAACTAGGCTAGACTGATGAAGCCTGGACACCCCTAATCACACTATGAGTATGAAAGGATTGCTTACATGTACATTATGTGTACGTGGAAAGACGTGAATGGTGATGGTGATAAAAGTTGCCCACACACACTCGAAATAAAGGAGTTTTCCAGGCACTTCATGTACTTGTACCAATATCCTCTTTAACACAACTTCATAGAAGCATAATAAACAATACAGAGTTTATATCCTGTTAGGACATGATGTTACCCTCAGTGCTGTTCAAGACTCGACCCTGCACGATTTGATGATTGAGTGTGAGTGTGGCCAGTACTTGTACGCACTAACAGTAATACCAGTGTCCACAGAACTACAGGACGAGAAAACCCATTGAGCACAATGTGAATTCTGTTGAAATGATCTGAACAAATGCCTACCTGCATCGAACCACAACTTCGATGTTCTTCTCTTGAGGGGCTTGCCTCGCCGGCATTATGGCAGCGATGCACAATCACACCGTTCCCTAAGGTTCTATCACGGTAGAAGAATACAATGGCGACACAAGGACAAGCAGAGCCGTCTTTCCAAAACGACAGAACATCAAACTGCTTTTCAAAGTTAGTTATTGCAATCACTGTACTGGGTGTTTGGCGTGCTGATCAGTGTCCTCAGCCGTTGTTCACTCTTCGAGTTCAAAGGACCAGGGTTTAGTAGTTTGAATTTTCAACATTTTGGTTGCACCAATCAGCGTGGCCAGTATCCATGGGAACGAAATTGGAAGCAGGCCACATGCACGTGACACAGAGTTTGATTGGATGTTTTCGTCATCAGTCATTTTTGTTCGACTTCGAACTTTTTGTTGACTTTCACTTTTACTAGTTTTTAGGAGCTTTGAGTTTGGCTCAATCAGTGGTTCACGAAGTGGTGGTGAACCAATTTGGGTATGCCCATGGTCACGGCCACCAAATTCTTGCCGTGAAGTGAGCTTGAGAGCACCGAGAATTGTCACGGACGTTAGGTGAGAAACATTACATTTTTGTGTTGAGAAAGAAATCGTACAAAATTGCTTTTTCTGTTCCTGGATATTGTTGATGGTACATATAATGTTAATTTCAATCTCCCCTGCGCTGGGGCAATGGAAGGGAGTTGTCAGTACTGTACATGTAGTAAGATACATCGGTGCTAATTGAACCCACGTGACAGTGAAGTAACTCCCTCGGAGCTGCCAGTCCACTTTTGATACAGTACTATGTCATGTAACATGGCCCAGTCCAGAACTCCCAAAGACTTCTCCACTTTCCTTCAGGGAGTGCTTTAAAGGGGAAGTCCGGTGAAAAATTTAAATTTCACAGTCCGTAGAGTTCGGGTCGCTGAGTCGAATGGTCTTTGTCCAAGGAGGCTGCGGCCTATGGTTCGTCAGATACGCCCAATCGAACATGCGCGAATTTGAGCGCACATCACCCAGATCCAGGTGATGATGTCACAGCGTGCAGCCAGGTAGCCACACCATCTAGTTGTGTACAAAATGGCCATATTCGGAGCGCGTTCGATTGGGGAACCGTTTGTCGCAGCTTCTTCGGACCAAGACCATTCGATTCAGTGTTACAAACACTACGTACCCTGTGATTTTCAGCTCGGTAAACCTCGAGGTTATACCGTATTTTAGCCGTTTCCGAGTTGGACTTTTCCGTCAGCATGCAATGGCCTCTACGGCTCTAGCCTAGTCTAGGCTAGCAATGCGCTGCGTGCATGCTAGCTGTAGTGCAGTCAACAAACTCATCACACACGGAACTACTCCCGCACTGCCGTGCTGGGGTAGCTACAACAGTACAAGTACAAGTACAACAAGACTCGAGTCACAAGACTCAGAAAACTAGTCAACACACAGACTTGTGATGTACTACACTCGTATCAGTTCATGTAGTCCGAGAACGTGCGTTTCTCCTTGCCGGTGCCGGTGGTTGTGCTTTGAGAAAGAAAATTTTAGTTTTCCGCTCCAGTCCCGCCTCATTATTTTATGCTACAGCGATGAGTGCACAACCGTGACAAGTGACAAAACAGCGAACAGCTCCCGGACCTAGAACTTTCAGATTCCATAGCGTTGCGAGCGAAGAGCCGTGCCCGTGGTTCAAAGAGCCTGCACTGTTCTCCAATTGAGTAGTCCGAAATATGCCAAGTTCGCACCAAAACATCACCATGTGCCAGGCTACTGGAGTCTAAGCGAATCGGTATGGAAAAACATTTAGAGTACTCGCATCACTCTTCTCCATTTTGGCGACCCTGCTCTCCAGCGATCTGATAATTATATCAGCCTCGTCTGCAATAGCTGCTGCTTCTTCATCAGTCGGAAACTCAGTAGCGCTCACTCTTGACCGGCCCGCTTGGCCATTTCTTCAGCTGAATACCGAGGTTCTCAGCCCCAGACCAAACTCGTGAAGGTCAGCCATGGCTGCATCCTCACTCTCACAAGGAGTTAGGTCTTCGGGGTCGCTTGCACCACCTAATATCAGTCGCCAAATCATTTGAAATAGCACTGACACTATTGCTTTCACGCACTAGTTTTGACCTAGCTGCACGCTATGACGGTGCGGAGGGTGTGGCGCGGCCGCATGACGTCATGGCGCAGCCCCCGAAACTCAGTTTTTCAAACGGAAATATCTCGAGAACGCTTTGTCAGAGACACGTGGGACCAACACCATTCGACTCAGCGCCCAAAACTCTACCGACCCTGAAATTTAAATTTTTCACCGGACTTCCCCTTTAACTACTCTAGCAGCAGGGGGGGGGGGGGGGGGGGGGGGGGGTCTTCACGTACGTAAATAATTGTAGGTCTTCACGTACATAAATAATTAGCAAGGGTGTGTTGGGGGGGGGGGGGGTCTTCACATATTAATAATTGGCAATTGTGTGTGTTGGTCGGGGTCTTCACATACATAAATAATTGGCAATTGTGTATGTAGGCGCTGGGAGCGTCGCTGGGGCTGGCAGCGGCCGCCAATAGGTTGGTGCATCCCCCCCCCCCCGCTGCTACTCTTGTGCTCGTTAAAAATGTCCTGGATCCGTACGACGAGAACACCTTACCACTTGATGCGAGTTTTTGCCATCAGCAGACGTATATGTATACTGTAAGACATGTTATTATAGCGAGTCGCAAATTTAACGATTGTCCAAAATTCATAGGTTAACGAGAAGATATGTAAAACGATCTTGCAGTATTCTGCCATATCCACACACAGCATATGGGCCTCAACCAGCTTTAGGGCCAAAATTTTCAAAATCTCTTTTTGGTTAAAAATTTGTTGAAACACATCTCCTGAAGGACCTCAGCCGAGAAAAAGTTCAATATTCCGATTCAAAACGTATGTATACACCAATAAACAGGATGTACTCCTAATTGGTGCAATTTATGTATACGATGCATGTGTACAATAAATATTCAGCATTCTAAGGTGGGTGGGCTCTTGACTACCTTTGAAACAGTGCAGTAGGCAGCTAGAATGAAAAAAGAATAGCTGAAGAGTGCGGAGACATGATCGACATATTCGCAGCTGCATCCTGCATGGAGTCGTTCCGCAATCTCGTCTTCCATTTCTTCCCCAACAAGTGAAGACATGGCGTCGCTGCCGTCACTAGCCCCAGACTCAGAATTATTTATTTCAGGTGACGACTCTTCATCTTCCGACTCTGACGAGTCATCGGCCACCTTGAGCAGGACATGACGGCTGCGATTCCGCCTCGCTGTCGACATGGATGTCGGAACCAAAGAACGTCTCATCCTCACTCGTCAGCGGCTACTTCAGCATCCGCTCCCCACCAGGCTCGAGATAGCTGTACACAATGACAGCCGCGTGTGCTCTGCGAACAGCTCTGGCGTCCGCAGCCATCGCAACAAGATCAAGAAGCACTCGAGTCGCAACTCGACACCACTTCAACTTCAAAATAAATTACTTCAAGCAAGGAGCTCAAGAAGAGCTTTGTCGCACTGTTCGCAGCGCGATCAAAAATCGTCGAACGTCACAAATCGACCTTTTTCTCCAAAAAATTACGAAACCTCTAAGGGTCGTTTTCGCTGATTGCGGCTCATATATGAAGCAGTACGGCCTCAACGGATCTTATTATAAGGAAGAAATGTCATCCGTTAAAACGTTAGATTTGCTTCCTCGTTATATATACATGTCTTACAGTAGCAAACCAAGGTGGTGATGCACTCTCTTGGGAGGTCATATAACGTTAGCAGATGCTCTTGGTTACATGGACACTGTGATGCACAGGACGATTTAGAACTGTATAGTGCTGCTCAATGAAATCCAGTCGCGTCACTCAAGTACGCGCGCGCCGGGTATTGCACAGCCTTAGACCTGTGAGCACTGGGCTGTGAAATGGTACAGGGAGCAAACTTTGACTCGCACGATTGGACTTGATTGAGCAGCACTGTAGTTTGTTCTATTCAGTTTCAGTAGAGAATGTCAACGTGTCTGAGAATTGTCATCTGCGGCTGGCTTTTTTGCTCTTTTCATGACTGTCGTAGGTTCCACAGCTCTCTTCACTGTGTCTCGATGATGAGTTTTCGGCGTGTAGTGCCCCTGGATGTGCCCGCACCCGCACACCTTGTGCTTTACAGAGGTGAGAGAGTCATTGCAATCTTGTCACTGTGTGTGTATAAGCGTGTGTGTGTGTGTGTGTGTGTGTGTGTGTGTGTGTGTGTGTGTGTGTGTGTGTGTGTGTGTGTGTGTGTGTGTGTGTGTGTACATACTTTTCCGTTCCTACCATACGTTATGTATGCAGATGTAGCTCTTGTCTAAATGCTTCCAAGTATCAACTTTTGCACCCGGGTGCTTTTTCACGGTAACATCCGCTCTTCTTTTTCATCAACACTTCCTTTGTTGTGTGGCAAACCGGGGTGAACTCAAAGGATTTTCTCCGATCACCAATACAATTTATACTTTGACACGGAAGGATGGCCAGTTGCCCTATTGTGTGAAGATCCAGTTGATGACGTAGGTGGTTGAGAATATTAATTATTGGTGCTTGGCCAACGTAAATGTATAGTGGAACCTGTGTAAGGCAGCCACTCAAGGGATTCGTAAGACGTGGTCCCCATCGGGGAGTTGTAGCATGTAGGGAGATGCTGTAACTCTGAACTATGTGGGTTTCACTCACAGGCTGACGGTTCCAGTCACCCTTGGCCTTGGGCAAGGCCGATGGAGGTATGCTCGCATGTGGTATTGCTGGCCTGGGTCATGTTTGTGGTTAGCAGTTCAAGGCCACTATCGCGATCACGAGTTGCACAGACTACAGATTACATAGAACTTCCCAATCTAGGTTGAAACGCACATAGTGTCGGGTACTATGATCCCGTGTGTCATAATTATCTCTAGATGCCATTACTCTCTGGTCGGAGTGGTCCCCATGTACAGGCCATCCCCTTATCCTGGATAAGACACTTCTTGGTCCTGGTGTTCTAGAGACCCTTTTGGACAGATGGGTGCCTTATGTTATCAGAGTGTTCCCTTTTACAAGTTTAACTGCAGTGAGTAGCTTGCGGGGAGGCGGATGTGGGAGTCCCGGCGGCTAGTCCTGAAGAGTGATATTCAATAAATTTAGGGGATTTGGTTTATCCTGCTCCCACCGACTTTGAATCAACCCTGATTGGCTGCAGTGCCAGTCTGCCTTGTGTGGATTTACTTATGGAAGAATGGCACCTCCTTTGCTTGTCAGTTCTGCGACGCTGTCCGCTGTGTGTGCATAACTAGCGTAAACCCTTGAGGGATGATAGGCTGGCAGGGCCACCAAGAATATGCGACTCTCATCTCCAAGCTATGTGTGTTGTGCATGGAGAAATGACCCTCAAGCTGACTGCGTTTGAATTTTTCCTTTGGTTTAGGTGCAACAATTTCACGCATACTGTAGTACGATAGGTTCAAAGGCAGGGCCTTCACGTATCGCGCACGAAACCTTCCTAAATCCTAGGACGTACTTGAAAGCTGGAAACCGTGGCAGATCAATGATGACGAAAAGGCCCAGGTGCTCTCCCAGTGCGTGGCTACGTAGTGTGGACAGTGCGCCATGCCAGACCCCATGTGCAGAGTTGCGTACTCTTGGCCTTATGGACTCTTGATAATGGGTGTCTGTCTGCATTGTACTGTGGCTTCGTCTTTCTCGACTACACTCTACTTGTCCCTCCATGCTTCAGGCCAAGGCTCTGCTTGATAGGCTGACTTTGGGGAAACTTATTCTTTTCTTGTTCTCTTTTTCTTGTTGCTGCCGGTGCTCAGGGCTGCGTGGCACTGCCCGGGAATTCAGGCTTCGGCCACTGAGAGCTCATCATTTCAAGGAGGACACAGCAATAGGCTTGCAAGTTCCTAATGATGAGCCAGAAAACAAACCAATGCCGCCTAGCACTGAGTCAGTGTTCAGGAAAAGGCATTTACGCAAGCCCACTTTCAGATACCCGATAATTGCGTTAGATCCGGAGTTCAAGCCACCGAACAAGGAGTTTGAGCATTTCAAGCCACCGGCAGAGTACTTCCCACAGACCGCTGAAGAGGCAGGTCTGCCGATGATGGACTTTCTCAATCACCGAGATATGTGGCTGCGCAAGCAGAAACTCGACATTCCGTTTTTCTGCGCTGGCTGCTACATGGCGGTGACATGCGGTGATCCAAATCACCCGCTCGGCGTCTCCCGGTTTGTGGGTATCTGCACTCAGATCCATTTTAAAAACCATGGCACAACGTTTCACGTGGCCAACGTCATAGAGGGCATGCCTGTCAAGAAGCAGTACGATCTCTATGGACCATTCCTGCAGAAAATCGAAGTACTTAAGGCCGAGCGTCGCAACAGACAACGCATGAACTGGCTGTTCAAGCAGAAGCACCCACGCCACTTCACTATACCTGAGGACATGAAGGATGAGAATCCGCCAGACCGCGACCCGTATGATCCCGACGTTCCTTTCCATGGATATGTTGACTATGAAGACAAGCCTAAATTTGAATAACACGGTATACCATACCCCATTATACCATACCAATACTTGATAAGAACGGCTTCATTTCTTTGTCCATATTTTTTATTTCGCCTTTCCTTTAGTGCTGTGTCTTCTTTCCCTGATTTGGTAGCCAGGAGCTGCTGAAACACAAGCGGGTGAATAATATGGAATACAATCATATATATTATGATCATATGGAATGCAATCATATGATCATATGATTGTGAGCATTGCTCCGGTCTACAGTAGTACGTCTTGATGTACTCGAGGCCTGTACGGGTCTGAGCACCTACAGTTCTGGTGCTTGCACTGGTACTTGCATGTGTGTGTGCGTGCGTGCGTGGGTGTGTGTGCGTGTGTGTGTGTGTGCGTGTGTGTGTGTGTGTGTGTGTGTGTGTGTGTGTGTGTGTGTGTGTGTGCGTAGGAGCAAGTATTACCTTCACCAGTTCACTGGGGACAGGGGTAACTGCAGTTGGATCCCGGGACGGATACCCTGATGCCGTCAATCCTTTTTATTCACCTTGTCCTCACCCACTTACTGAGGTGTGGTGAGCCCATAAGTGGGGTCATTTTCAAGTCCACCCAGAGTTTTGGGGGTTTCAGGGGGTGTCGGCCGTTGGGCGGTTCAATAGCCAATTGAGTCATCTTTCCAAGATTCCTTTTGAGTCTCTCTCCCGGGAGACCCACATGACCAATTTTGGCAGTGAGCAACAAGTACAAGTGTGTGTCTTTGTGTGTACCGTAAAGTCGCGGATAAAAGCCGGGTTTGCATACAAGCACATCGCGGATAGAAGCCTGAAAATCAAACGGGTCAAATGCATATAAGCCTGTCGCGCGTGGAAGCCTGGCTTCTATGCAAGCGCGGATCGGGTAGGTCAAGAGTGCATGCGCTATGTACGGTGCATAGTAAAACCGCCGCCATACCGGTAGTCAGTGGTAGATCTACGCGTGTCGCGCGTAGAAGCCTGGCTTCTATGTGCATACAAGCCTGGCAAAAATATCAGTGGTGCATATAAGCATAGTTTGCATACAAGCCTGATGCAGAAAGCGGCTTATGTGCGTATAAGCCCGGCTTTTATCCGCGACTTTACGGTATGTACGTGCCCGTGTGTGTGTGCATGTGACTATATCACTCAGTCCATCCCTCGATGGCACTGGCATAGTGTGGGCTGCCTTAGTCTGGGTGACGAGCGTTATCAGTGACGCAATGGAATAGGATGGCCATGCAAGACAGTTACCTATCCACACCCTACACTTGCTGGGGTAACCAGCATACAGCATGCTGCTTTTGCTATAAGCAGACACTAGACGCACAGGTACCTTGAAGTGAAATTGGAGTTACTTTTCCAACCAGCATCGGAAACTGAGTACAGTCAGACCCCGCTTAACCGCACACATCTGTTTTCCACAAAAATATCCGGATAGGCGAGGGAACCGGATAACTGAACACACATACTGGATATATAATATGCATGTGGCATGTCAAAAGCAGTGGCATCGTACATACATGTAGACGGGTCCTATGCAGTGCAACTAGCGTGCACAGTATGTAAAACAAGCAAGAAAAATGACAAGTGCATGCAACTGAGTGCTGTCCACATGCACCCAGCAGGTCAAGGACCTCATTTGCCTGTACAACTCCCTGATTCTAGCTTCTACAAGGCACATGCAACCGGATACGACGAAGCTTTTTGTACACATTTCAACCAGTTTGTACACAAAATCATGCACCGGTATGCGGATCGCGAGGTCCGGTTATGTTGTATGCATAACATATGCTGCACATCGGTAACCAGCGATTTTCTTCCGGATGGCGAGGGATCCGGATAAACGAGGACCGGATAAGCGAGGTCTGACTGTGCTGGGAACCCAGGGCCAACAGACATACCAACAACCTCAGCCATGAAAACTATAATTAAAGTAACGACACACTGGATTGTGGAGTCGAAACTAGTCCAACTTCCAAATGCTTTGTCAAGAAGGTAGCTTTCCAACACACACACTGTCCCTCCGGGAATTTGCGGAAAAATTCTCGAAAACTTGCGCAAGTTACGGCAGAAAATAGCAAGAAATGCGGCGAAAAGTGTGGAAAGATGCGGAACTTGCCAGGAATTTGCCGGATTATTTGCAGAAAATTGCAGATTTGGGCCAAATCACGAAATTTGTTGCGTCCGTCGAATCGCTATTTGCGCAGTAGATCTACTCGAGTTGTGCTGTGCAAATAACCAGTTACCTACATGATCATGGAAATACAGCCTTGTAACATGCTGTCAAAATCGAAAAACATGATCATGGAAAGCACTGCGTGAAAGTGTAAAACAAGTGCAGAAAACAACAATAACAAAATGCGGGAAATCGCGGATTTTGCACAAAATCGCGGGTTTGGGCTAGAAACGCGAAATTTGTTGCATCCGTGGAATCGCGATTTCCTGGAGGGACAGCACACACACACACACACACACACACACACACACACACACACACACACACACACACACACACACACACACACACACACACACACACACACACACACACACACACACACACACACACACACACACACACACACACACACACACACACACACACACACACACACACACACACACACACACACACACACACACACACACACACACACACACACACACACACACACACACACACACACACACACACACACACACACACACACACACACACACACACACACACACACACACACACACACACACACACACACACACACACACACACACACACACACACACACACACACACACACACACACACACACACACACACACACACACACACACACACACACACACACACACACACACACACACACACACACACACACACACACACACACACACACACACACACACACACACACACACACACACACACACACACACACACACACACACACACACACACACACACACACACACACACACACACACACACACACACACACACACACACACACACACACACACACACACACACACACACACACACACACACACACACACACACACACACACACACACACACACACACACACACACACACACACACACACACACACACACACACACACGTGCAGTATACCATAGGAGAAAGTTCAGAAGAGTGCCACAATCGAATAGTATCAGCACCACTGCGAGTAAACCAGCTACATCTCTAAAACGTGCAAGGTACAAAAATGAGAAAATAGCCAGCATTTTTAAAATCAAGCTCAATAGGTTTAGCCCCTTCGAACTTTGACCGGCATGACGAGGAGGACCAGTCACAGGTTTTGTTCATTTTTGCTGCAGTCTAAAACGAAGAAGAAGAAAGAAGACTGATCAGCTGTCCATTGGGAAGGGCAGCTGCAAATAATTCTGCACTACATACATGCATGCAGACTAGAAACTAGACTGAGGAAAAAGACACTACACTGATATTTGCTCATTCGTTCGACCTTTGTGTGAGTGTAGAACGGAGAAAAAAAGAACACAGGGCATTTCGTCGTCATAGAGCGCGGAGCAAATCAGGATAGCTGGCAGGCATTGGGAGTCCTATGTTCAACGTGTGCAGATTGTTGTTGGAATTCGACGGTAGCCAGACTCGCGACATTGAACGTGTAGCAAAACAAAACCCAGTGGCAGCGGGCAGCTACGTGGAATTGGATGTGTTGTAGATGCATGCGCACACAATGTCCTGCAGAAGATACACACAAAGCCGAAAGACAACATTAGCTGGTCACACAAACGTCGTTTCTGCAACATGAAAATAAAGCCGAACCAATACAGCCAAGCGATTCCACACAGGAGTTTTACATCTACAACCAAAAAAATACACAGGTTCGCGTACAGGGCGGGTCCCTGGGACGGCACCACCCCTCGATCAGGCACCAGATGCGGCTCCTAAAAGGTGGGGGAGGATAGATCAGATCCTCCAACCAGAGGCCAAAGGCCGAAATCCCATTTGCCACATCCAAATGTACAACCAACAGGGTTGAAATACTGCTGTACATATGACATATGTACACACCTGCTGCTTATTGCGTGGCGATGAGGGCAGAGTACCAGTGAGTTGAAGACGTAAACGATTCGAGCCTCTCTGCGGCCACAGCTGGTAGATAGATATTGGTTTGTTGCTCTGGAACATGGCATTGTGACGACGCATGTCCACATGCATGTGCACACGCGCGCGCGCACACGCACACACGCATACACACACACACACACACACACGGAGAGCAAGTGTAGGCAACATGTGCAAGCAATTCCTGGAAGAGATTACGGTACATTGAAACAGTTGGCAGTGTGAGCAGGATCAGAGAGCAACTGCCAGCACATTCTGAGTGACCTGCAAGTCTTGAATGAGCCCAAGCAATGACTCTTGCTGATAGGCACTAATACTACTGTATATTCATGAACGCTTAAGATCCGTACATGGCCACTGTTGCCTGGGTACGAGGCGGCCTTCAGCGGTTGTGTCGATTCCTGAGAATTTCAAATTTCTTCTCACCGGTCGATCGAGACAGGCTTGAACATGTCGGATTTCCATGTGTCTGAGCTACTTCTGTGCCTCGAAAGTGCTTCTAATACAGCACATCTGAGGAACAAGGCAACGATGCACTCACACAAGAAGAAAAACCAGTGACTCCAGTCGATTCTTCTTCAAACGACACGAAGGTTTTGTTGAGAATATTTCTCGTCTTCTGTTGCACGAACGCTTTGTACCTCATTGGAATGCTCTGTCTACGTTCTTTTGCCATTTTTCAGCGTCCTGTTTTCATTTTCCTGTCAAAGCTAGACCCCTTAGATGGTAAATTCTCAGTTTGGTTTCTTTTCAATCCGATGGCGAATTCCGGAAACTGATGGACGTACTTTGGGTAGTGGTTCTGTGGAAAAAATGGCAGGCCATGCACAGTCACTATCCCTGCTATGCCGTATAGGTGGTGTGAAGCTGTCTAAGGCGAAACAAAGTACGAGCTACGCAGTGGATAGCCATGCTAGTGGCATTCAGAAAGCCTTTGGTGTGCATGTGGGAAATGACCAGCTGGATGTGCACCCCAAACCGGAATGTGTAGCCTGTGCTACAAAACAGTATGCAGGTGCTTGAACCATGTGAACAGCTCCGAGTATGAGCGTTGTGGCGGAGACTGTGGTAGCCCTGTTCAATGGCATCCGCATGATTACGTTGATGAAGATATTAAGACATGCCAGGCATGTGCCACTGTTAGTGAAAGTAAGAAACCTGGCCGGCCAAAAAGGAAAGACGTGGTGCGCAAACAACCACAGAGCCGTTCAGGATCGGCCTCTGCAGCTCCGAGTATGAGCGTTGTGGCGGAGACTGTGGTAGCCCTGTTCAATGGCATCCGCATGATTACGTTGATGAAGATATTAAGACATGCCAGGCATGTGCCACTGTTAGTGAAAGTAAGAAACCTGGCCGGCCAAAAAGGAAAGACGTGGTGCGCAAACAACCACAGAGCCGTTCAGGATCGGCCTCTGCAGCTCTGAGTATGAGCGTGTGGCGGAGACTGTGGTAGCCCTGTTCAATGGCATCCGCATGATTACGTTGATGAAGATATTAAGACATGCGAGGCATGTGCCACTGTTAGTGAAAGTAAGAAACCTGGCCGGCCAAAAAGGAAAGACATGGTGCGCAAACAACCACAGAGCCGTTCAGAATCGGCCTCTGCAACTCCGCGGCCAGGGCAATGTGCACATGACAGTATTGGCACCCATAGCACCACAGCAAGCCAGAAAGACCCTGATCATACATCAGTGATCTAGCCAAAGCCGGCTCAGCCGAGACGGCTGGGAGGGCGACCTGCCAGCTGAGACAGCTCCAAGGCCGGCTGCAGTCACTCCCATGTAGACTGTAGTGCCCCATATCCTAGGCGTAGGTATGTACAGTACAGTACGTACAGTACGTAGCACTGGCTACTCAGGCTCAGTGCTAGCTCTTCACTCAAGCTCAAATGCACTTGAGTATGCACTTGAGTACGTCAGTAAAATGTAACAGGTTGGGTCATGGTTCCCTGCTTCTGGTGGTGTACATGGCTGTGGCTAGGCTGGGTCTTGTCAGATGACCAATGTACACTGCATGCAGGCATGACGTTGGTGAACACATGATCCATGCTCATGTAGCTGTTTGCTTCCTTTTTCATATTTTATTAATTTACCTATAATCACATTCACAACTGCCTGATGAATGCCCATAATTGGAGGAAGCGAAAGGAGATGCAAGCTGCAATGAAAGATTTGTAGTGGTGTGTGTGTCTGTGTGGATCCGTGACTGATGGCGGGGGTCTGGGGGCGCAGCCCCCAGAACGATGCATTTTAACTAGAACGTTGGCCGGCTGGCATAAAATCCTGGCTAGACCTCTGATACATGCACACACACACACAGTCACAAGCTGCTCAAATGGAAAATGCCGGTCAAGATATAACAAAGGAGCAGCTGATTGCTGTCGCTACGCCGAATTACAGCACTGGGCAAGAAGTAAGTCCAAGCCGATTCATACAGCAATTATCTGCAATAACTTGCAGCATATGCAAACATATCATCAACAAAGCAGTGGAAGCCAAGTGTTGCCAGCACTCTTTCTGCACAGATTGCATTTGGCATTGGCTTGGGATTAAAGCGAGTTGTCCTGTGTGCAGATTTGCAATGTCTGCTTCGCAGCTTGTGTTGCCGTCTGTTTGCTGTCAGAGTGTATTGGCGGAAATACATTGTGACAATTATGCAGACGCATTAAATGGCTGTTCAGAAGTCATGCCCCTGTCTCAGCTTCGACCGCATGTCCAAACATGTAACAATACACAAAAGCACACAGTGACAAAGGCCACACAGGTTGGAGACATACTGAATGCATCACCTACAAAGTTGAGAGGAAGTATATCAGATGTGCTGACAGGGCACCTTGTCAAAACAAAAGCTGATAATGGAATGCTGGAATTGCGTGGGAAGGGTCCGTCACAAACTTGGAAACGAACTACAGTAGCCACAGTTCCTTCACAGGATGCTTCGGCCAGAACAGTACGTCGTCGCCGCCGTAGTCAGGCTGAGCTGAAACACACACGAACACTAATGTGTGGGAGCAGTGAAGGCTTTGTGATTGCTCAGCAAGCTGCTAGCATTAGTCATATGGAGAAGGAGGAGCGTGATGCACCCCTTAATGCTGCCGGCATTATAGCTAAGACACCAGGCACTGGCAGCACACTCGCCTTGAAGGCTGACTTACACATGCCCTGGAACCAGCTGCGAAAGCTGAGAGTGTGGATGAAGGACTATGGTGTCCGCTTAGAGTCGGAGCGTGCAATGCGTTAGCAGCTACATGGTCAGCTGCGGTTTGACATAGTGGCCGAGAATGTTCCTTTTGTGAACAAGACTGGTACTGTGGTAGCAAGGCCAGTCGTGATGCTTCCAGATCTTGTTGGCACAGTCCACTCGTACCTAGACGAACTGCAGGCAACACAGCAACTGCACTGGCACGAGGGTACTATTCCAGCAGACGAAGTCTGGGTCAAGGTTGGAGGAGACCACGGTGGTGACTCATTCAAGATGTCCTTCCAAATTGTTAACGTCAAGAAGGCAAATGCCATCAGGAATATTGTGCCATTCCTAGTCTTCGCTGCAAAGGACAGTCCAGCAAATCTAACCACAGCACTGCATCCATTCGTCGAGCAAGTGAAGCTATTGCAGACAACATTGTGGCAGGGCAAGACTGTCAGAGTGTTGCTGTATGGTGACTACGAATTTCAGACCGTGCAATACGGATTATCAGAGTCCAGTGCTGTACATCCCTGGCTGCATTGCACCATCACAAAGGCAGATATGCAGCTCGCCACTGGCACCTCTGTAGGTCGCCACTCGCTCGCCTCACTCAGTGAGAAGTATAGTAGCTTCTCAGCAGCAGATGGTCACCTCGTTGATGCCAAGAAATACGACAATAGTATTCGGCCAGTAATCCTCCCCATTGAGATCTCCAACGCCGTTATTCCCGTGCTTCATTTGGACTTGGGCATATTCCAGTGGGGTTTCGAAGCCATGGTCAAGGACTACCAGGCTTTAGATGTGTCAATTGCTGCAGCGTCTAGTCCCACCGTTAATACTGATAGCAACGAGTTCTGTGCAGTCGTTGCTGCTCACCAGCGATATCGTGGCAAGGAAGTTGAGCTGCGTACTGCGCAGAATGCAGCCACTGGTCTCAAGAACCAGCTGGACTGGCTTGCCCTGCATGGCCACACGCTATCGCAAGCACCGCTACAAGCGGCCGCAGGTGCGATCCAGGTGCAGTGCGCACAGCAGGCACAAGCTACAGCAATGCTGGAGGCCGACATCCGGAAGTTGAAAGAGGAGATAGATAAAGGCGGAAAGAAGATGTCTGGCCCATGCGAGTCCTCCTTGGAGATCAATCTTCAACGGCACCACATCTGCCGACAACGCTACCACAGTCGAGCCTTCATAGGCAACCATGTGCATCATGCCCTCCAGCCAGCTGTGCTACACGACCTCACATCGGCACCTTCCTCAGTCATCGGTGAGCCAGGTAGAAATTCTACACAGGAGCTCATCACGGCAGCTCAAGTGCTCCAAGAGCGGTACATGGCCCTGTTCCAGCAATTTGCTGCTTGCAGGCGGAGATATTCGCCGTGCGTGCGGATGTCGCCTGATGACGTGACCGAGTTCCAGTCGAATGTGTCAACGTTCATGGCAACAGCAAGACGTGAGGTGGTGGCCAGGCGGCTCGGCAGCATCACGCCCAAACTGCATCTCCTGGAGGCACATTTGCCAGGCGCTGTGAAAGAGTTCGGCGTTGGTATGGGACTCCTCGCGGAGCAGGGTGGCGAGAGCATCCACCACGAGTTCAGTTCACTCCAGCATCGCCACGAGGGTATCGTGAATGAATTGCAGCGTCTTCGCACGACAGTGAGGCAACACTTGTCGTCTACACTCCCGCGCCAGGTTCCTCTCTTCCCCGAGAGTCGAAAGAGAAAGCACTACGATTCTAGCAGCTCCGCATGCAATGAAGATCGAGAGGAGTGACGGAGCCTCCTTCTTCCGATCGCATCCAGCAGCTACAAACATTATTTTGGTCTTCCTCCGAGTTCGTACTACAGTCTAGTCTGATAAGTGTAGCATGATGAACCCGGCCTTGATCTTTGTACTTTTGTTTTGGTAGGTCACAGTTTTTTTGTCTTATTTTCTACATCTCACTGTGTCAGTGTCGTGACGCTGTCGGAAACTACCATGGTGATGGCCATGTTTCATGCACGTGACGAAATTTACGCCATCTTGCACATGAAATCAGCAGTGACAAAGGGTACTTACGATTGCCATTGGGGTCACATGTTGATTGTTCAAGTACACATCGCTAGTGCAGCTTGAACTGGAGCTCAACCAGCTCAGCTCAAAGCGAGCACTGCTTGCATGAAGGCGGACTAGGAATAGCCGTACATTCACAGCTGAGGAATCAACAGAAGAGAGAGAGAGAGAGAGAACAAATAAGAGGGGGGGGGGGGGCTGTATCTTCCTCTACAAAAGAGTGCACTAAGTTATTTCGCGATCTCAAGCCTTCATCCGCATCGCAAAAGTCCACCAGCCTCAACACGCCGAGAAGGATGAGAGTGAATATCGCCAAAGGAGCAAACACGGGCAGAGCTCGAATGGGGTCAGCATGAACAGCTGCGTATCACTGCAATACAAGACACAGCATCCATCAGCACTGTGCAGCGGCGGCTTACATTGGTTCTCCTGCGGCTGGAAAGTGAATGGCAGGTGAACTTCGGACGCTTCACCTGGGGAGATGCAGTGGAGCGGCTTGATTGGCAGTCTCATAGTACCCAGTCCGTTGTGACTGAGAACATTTGCAATGAACGTACGCACCTGCGTCGTAACACTATGCAACAGCAACAAGAAATAGAAAGAAAACGTGGAAAGGAAGAAGACTATTTTAAAGCACCGGGGTCCAAATGGATTCAAGACTCATCTCAGGAAACCAGTGTAAATCAAGCACAAACTCAGCCAGGTCGGCCTCCCACAGAAATTCAGTAGATTCATGGCCGGAAGGAAAGTGATTGACATTGGATAGCTCCAATCCTACTGAAACCAGACTAAGAGAATTCGCAATTGTTGCAGTCTCATAAAGTCAGACATCTTTAGGACAAACAACCAGTGGAGTGTGTCTGCAACCGCAGTTCTTTTCCGTACTATACACACAGTGAATATGCAGCATGCAGGTTCCACTGTAGCTGTTGGCTCATTGTGCAAGACAATCACTGTACATACAGACCCTTACTGGGCCTTAGTTTCCAAAGCTCAGCATTCAATGGGTGAGTGCGAAGTGTGAGCACCGCCTGTGCGCATCTGCCACGCAACACCACTACAGCACACAGCTACAGCACACTGCTACGGCACACAGCTACAGCACACACCACCGACTCACGAGGTGTAGTACGACCGGATGGTGTTGCAGACGCCCTCATGCCGATGCTTGGTCGCATATTCCGCTGCTGTCAAGCTAACTTGGGACGTCACGATGGTGTTGACACCAGCTCTTACCAGTAGCTCAACCACTTCCACTGAGCCCCTCCGAGCTGCCTGCAGGGTGACCAGGAAAGCGTCCAGCCATTCAAGCGGTAAATTCAGTAGTTCTCAACTACTTCCTTCCTCGGAATTCCCTCAAATATGAAATTAATTTCAAAATGGTAAGCATGTCTCTTACCAGTGCATATGAGATGTCGTTTCATAGCTAGGACAAATCTTTCCCTCAATTATAGGTTCATGGAGGACCTCTAATGGTGTGCTGGTGCCCGACAGGATACCCACCGGGCTAATTTGGATGGCGCTAACAAGCCATTCGGCCCAAACTGCCACGCATCAACTATTTTAGAATGAGGCTATTATTTCCCATTCGTAGGCCACCCGTTCTTATTTCTATGTTTCTCGTCACCTGAAAATCTAAAAACGTATGCGAGAGGTGGAAAAAATAAAAAATGACCGAAAAATAAAAAAAAGTTTATTAGACCATTGTTCACACTAAAATATACGAATGCACCATGCAAAATAGCATCCACAGTAAGCAACTAGTATGTGTTAGGAGCTTCTGTTACAATCTGTGCATGTGCAGCTAGATTGTGCACAAACAATGCCGACCTCGCATCATGTGTCACGCATGCCAGGCCACATTATGTACATATGCTTGAGTGTGCTGGTCCCCACATGCACAGTCAGTGCAGCACAGTTTTTTTTTCTTTTTTTCCTCCAGACTCCTGAATCGTATGCGCGCAGGTGACGAGAAACATAGAAATAAAAACGTGTGATCTAAGCTGATCAAGCAGTATTTTTTATTATACAATATTCAAGAATGCAAAATGTACATCCTACCATCAAATATTCAATACAAACATTCTCATGAATTGTCTTGATATGCCGGTAGTCTTCATCAGAAACCGGATTACTGTAAACCGCCCAATGTTTGCGTCACTAAATTTTTGCGATCTCTCAGAACCAGCGAGTTTGCGATGGCAAATGTTCGCGGAGCACTGTGACCACACATATACACCCACTGTCGAAGTTTTATTTCACGATGGTTAATATTTGCGTAATACTCTTCTCGCAAAATTAGCAAACATTAATACGTCGCAAACATTAGGCAGTTTACAGTAGTCGATTGAAAGCCAGCACATAGACGGTCAGAAGCACATAGACGGTCAGAAGCACATAGACGATCAGAAGCACACCTACCTTCATGAGAGCGGTCTCTCCGTTGTTCTGTTGGACGTTCAGGTATGCGCCAGCCTTGATCAGCATGTCGCAAATCGACGCAAAGCCCTGCATGGCAGCCATAGCATACATAGTATTACACACATACCCATTCTCAGCAGAATCACGGTGAGTCGTGCCACCAGTGAAGTTTGTCTAACCCCTGCCTAGACAGCAACGCTGCTGCTGCTGCTGCTGCTGGACGCTATGCTACCAAGGTAGTAGTACTACTCATCACTCACGTGTGCGCCTTGTTGACCTTGACCGAGGGCTTGGTGTGCACCTCGTCACGGCAATGGTGGCAGAATGTCGCTGGCCACGTGCACAGTTCAGAGTCAATTCTATAAGTCTACAAATTTACACTCAGTCACTGGTACCTGCTGTCTAAAGCACAGCATAACCTGCATCGGGAACATGGCCTTGCCAACTTCAGGGGAAGTATGGGGGGAGATGATAAGAAATGCATGTACAGTGGGTAGATGTGGTGAATGTACAGTGTACCTGGTCGGCAGCAATCATCAGCGCCGTGAGTCCGTTGCGTTGTGCCACATTGACCTGAGCACCACTGGCCAGTAGCATGCGCACGCTGGGGTCCTGGCGTGCGCTGGCCGCGATCATCAGCAGCGTGACGCCCTGCATGCCTTCCGTCAGCTCCATGTCAAAGCCGCTGCGCAGCGCTTGCTCAATCACCGCCGTATTGCTCGTCTTCACAGCCTCCTTCATCATGTCTGATCAGCACAAAGGTTGTGCAGACGGTGCAAACAAAACGTATTGATATTGAGTCTATTGACTATTGATACATCCCTAGACTTCACATACCTTCACGGGAGCGTTGTGCGACGCCAGTAGATGTCCATAACTCACGGGCTCTGCGACTATTTTATTACTAGTGTGCCTGGATCACCAAATGCCTATACGATACCCGTACCCAGTAACGCACTGAGCTGTGAATACGTTCATAGCTAGCGCCGGTTGGTTCAGCAAACCACCTACGAAGCATACACTGCTGGCAGTCACTATATCATACAACCTTCAGTATGCGTTCTCTCACCAGCCGCCTGCTAAACCAGACAACTTGCTTCTCTAATACTTACTGTAGGGGATCACCTTCTCCACAGTAGCTGATCCGACTGCAGGTACTACCTGCAATGCGAAGACCAGAGCAAGCAGGAAACACGCACCCGTTCAACCATGGTGTTAGTGTGCGCACATTGTTATTCTTATTCTTATTCTTCGTCATCATGTCATAAGATGCCTGCGTCTGTGTGCTGACGTTCGACCGGACAAGTGGTTCAGGAAAACCAAGACATAATCCCTACAACCAAGCACCTTGCTCACCACTGCTCCACAAAACAATCACATGAACGTTTGCCCTCCGAGTATGAAGCATGTACATGTATATGTAATCTCTCAGGCTAGATCTGGATGCAGGTGCCAAATATTCACTATATCGGTCCAACACTGACTACATTCACTAACGTGTGCCTCGAACATGTCCTCTTCGTCAGATGATGCATCATCGAAATCAAACTCTGTTTCCACAGCCTGGGTACTGCTAGTTGCCGGTTTCTGAAGCCCTGTGGGAACCGGATCACGACCACCACCACCAGCAGCAGCAGCAGCAGCAGCAGAAGCAGCTGGCATAGAGCTGGCAACCTTTGAACTAACACCCCCTGTAGCTGCAGGAGCAGTGGAAACGGCAAGCGCAGGTGCAGGAGCAAGCAGAGATGCCACAGCTTCGCTGGGTTGACGTTGCTGTGCGCTGGCCAGCAGTGGCGGCATATCAGCAATACCAGCATCAGCGTCTTTGGAATCCATGTTCACACCAAACGGTAGATCCAGAGAATTCTGACCGCCAGCAAACACACACAGGAACAACACAACAACAAGAACTGAGATCCTATGTCACAATGTACTCACATCATGTATTACTGTGCAATCATCAGCTATTGTACGATGGTGCTCAGTGAATCCTTGCAGATAAGCACACACATGAACAAAGTGCTCAGGGACAGTACTACATGCATATCTTACTTACGAACTCATGAGCCCCTGAACTCATGAACCCCTGGACTCATGAACCCCTGAACTCATGAACCCCTGAAATCATGAACCCCTGAACTTATGAACCCCTGAACTTATGAACCCATGAACTCGTGGACCTACGATAGTTGACCCCGTGCATGCCTCTTGTGCCGTGTTTTAGTGTGACAGTTCACACAGTGTGTGCATGGTCAACGCATGTCCAGTCTGTACATACTTCAGTGAGTAGAGTAGTGTGATTCCCAATAACTGATCACATAGCACAGCACGTCTTACTGAGAATGCCACTGCCACTGAGTAGTCGCAACTATCTAGACCAATTCTCAGAGTCATAGCCAAACGGTGACAGAGCGTGGAGCTATACCCTCTTTCTAAATCGGAAGTAGGATTGTTCCGTGCATGGTCGACTTACCCGCAATTCAAATGCTCTCTTTTCATAGTGCATGCACATGGTCCCTGAACAGCACACCTATTTTCTTGTCCAGTGGAATTGTGAGTAAATAACAGCGATACACCTACACTATCACAACATACTCCATCTATAGTGCAATGCATACTGGCACAACCATGTACATGCTCAAGTAGCTGCCCCCATCCCCCTCCCCCCCCCCCCCCCCCCACACACACCCTCCTTTCCGGCTGGTTACAAGCCTGATTCTAGCACTTACATCAGAAGAGTCGGACAAGTTCAAAGTGAGCTTGTCTTCATCACGGTCTGAGTCCATATCTCCGTAGTCCTGTTGATGCTCAGAGATGGCATTTGCAGTCTGAGCTGTTTGCTCAGCTGGTGATGCTGCTACTGCTGCTTTGTGCTCATACCGACTCACACTGCGGTGCTGATCAGGTCTTCCAGGCGCTGATGTTACGGATGCTGATGCTGCCGTTGACTGTGCGCCTGACGTGGACCGATTGGCAGCTACTGGGGCTGCATCTTGGCCAACTTGTGAAGATGACAATGCATAATGCGACGGAGCAGGCAAGCGGTCATCGGCAGTAGCAGCAGCAGCTGGTACAATGCCCACGCTGTCGTCGGGTGCACCACCCAACAAGTGCCCTGCAGGCGGGCCGTGCTCAGATTGCATCTGCACCCAAGCTTTCGTGTTGGCAATCTTAACAGCTGAGCTCATGCCAGTCCGCTGGATCTTGGGTGCCTGCTCCAGTGGCGGCGGTGTCAGACTGGTTACGTTGGACATCTTGCTACTGCTTGCCTCTCCCTTGCTGCTCACTCCAGCCAGCTGCGTCTTCTGCGCTTGCAGCTTGGCCTGGCTGCTGCTAATCAGACGCGGGGGCTTCCACAGAGGCCCATCGTCAGCCTGCATGAGTGCACTCGTGCTGATACCTGGCGTTCCTGTCCGACTAGAGTATGCTGTTCCTGTGCCTGATGCTGTTGTCGCCGCTGTTGTTGTTGTTGTTGAGGATGCACCAGCAGCACCAGATGCTGGTGCCGGACTTGTGCAAGTGGGTGTTTGCAATGCCAGTGCATCTGTGGCGGCAGCATGTGTCTGCAATGCACTACTCCTTGCTGCCGGTGCAGGCTTAGTTGGCGACGGTACGGAGGAAAGTGGATGTGCTGGACTGCTCTTTGCTGCCCAGGGCTTAGTGATTGGTACAGCGGGTTTTGGACGTAGTGCACTGGTCATTGCCGCCTCCAGCTTAGCCGACTGCAGTGCAGATGAAGTTGGGCGTGATGTACTGATCTGTGTTGCCTCCGGGTAAGCTGAGAGCGGTGCAGATGGTGTTGGGTGTGCTGTGCTGGTCATGGCTGATGCAGGTTTAGCAGATAGCGGCTGTGCACTCAACTGTGGGCGAGATGCACTGGCTGAAGCGACACCTGGTGATAGCTTTTGGCTAGCAGCCTTGGTAGTAGCTGCTGTGACTGCTGATGCAAAACTAGAGGCTGTGGCAACCTTAGCAGCACCAGCAACAACGTTAGGTTGGCGTACATGTGCCTTCGTACTGGAGACAGCAGTGGAGACAGCAGTGGAGACAGCAGTGGGTTCAACTGTTGTGGACACAGGTACAGGCCGCACTTTATCACTAGGTTTCTTGGCCCACGGCTCTGCTATGCTGGAGGACAACGAAGATGATAGAGCCTGAAAGGCGGAGCGGGATACTGCGGTGCCTCCCACTGGATTAGCGGGAAGGGGTGCACAAGGAGATGCTTCGCCAGACTCATTGTCAGAGAATATCCTCCCGCTTAATGATCTGGTAGGACTGCTTAATGACCCCGCAGAACTCGATTTCTTTCCCTCTTTGGCACTTGGACCATCTGCCTCAGTATCAAACAAGCTCCTGTCGCCGAATTCACGCTGATTCTTTCCAGAGAGGAAGGCATTCTCGTCTTCAGAATGATCATCATTTGGCCCTTCAAGACGTGCCTTCTTGGATGCAGGACCTGGCTTGTTTTCAGCATGCTCGCTACCATCACTGGAGTCCTCGGGAGGGATGTACTGCCGCTTGCGTTTGACTGGCAAAGGTACGTCCATAGCCCCCAGGCTGACTTTACCGGGGCCACCAGCTGACTTTCCGGTCTGCTGCTTCTCCTTGGGCTTGGCCTTTCGGACATACTTTCTCTTCGGTGCGGACTCTGTTGGTGTGCTGTCTACTGCGATGGCAGTCGGCTTTAGTCGTTGACCAGTCTTTTTCTTCAACACACAAAAGAAAGGAGCAGAAAAATGGAAACGTGATGAAAGATCCGAGTTACAGCATGGCAGCCTGCATATAAACATTTTAAAATATTTTTCAGTCATTCATGTGTTCTTGCTTTCACTCATGTGGTCAGATTTTCGAAAAAATACTTTCTTCCTCCTAAAATCTGTATGTCACGTGATCTTTCACTAAAGGAATCAGCACAGGAATTCGGGCCAACGGAATGACATCTTGCACAATAATGAACAACGATGACAAGGGCTTCCAGCCGACGGGATACTTAGAGAGTGGGAGAGGGGGGGGGGGGGGGGGGCTGTAACACATCTAAGCTTCAGCAGAGAAAGAAACCTTCCGCATTGTCGCCAAAGATTCTTCCAAAGTGATGCATTTTGACATGATTTTGTCAATCTCTAAATTCGAGTTGCAAGTACATTGCAACAAATCCATGTTATACTAAGACTGACGAGTTGCAAGTACATTGCAACAAATCCATGTTATACTAAGAGCTTTCAGCAGAATTAGGATTCAGTATTTCAGTGGAGTTGATATCCACCCACACTCAAGCTTGCCAAATTTAAGACAGTGTGTTTGTCATCATTCAATAGAAGCAGAACTCCCGTCGAGGGTCAGAAAATGAACCGCTTCAAGCACGAACGACTGTTTCCGAAGCTACACAGAGTTGTCTGATGATTGGTTTTTAGTAACTTTTTACCATGAAACTCTGAGTAACAACGAAAACAGCCCTATTTTACTTCCTTTCGTATACCTCTTGTGTTTCCGAAGCTAGATAGTTGTCATCGTCATCGCCAACAAGTTACGAGCTGCATATTCTGCCACATGATACCAGCCTCTGACTCGGTAGAGGCAACGGAGATTGGTACAGCTACCAGTCAAAGTTTAGTTGAGAACGTACACATGTAGGAGTTGCATTTTAATAGAAAGTATATTTTTCGCAGTAAAAGAGTATTTATTTGTAGAGCTTGTGTTGATACAGATTCCTAGGTTCAAACCCCAAGATGGGCAGTTAGTTACATTTTTTCTCTCCTTGCGTATTTTGTATCTGCATGTTATTACCCTTTTCGCGAGTCGCTCGTGAGTAATGTATGAGTCGTGTATGGCTGAACCCGTATTTCCACACTTTACCTGTATGACTGTCTGTTGTGAACTGTGGTTGGCCGCTAGTGTTATTGTTCAAAAAAATTAGCATAATTTACCAATCACAGTTCACAGCTCTGGAATATTCTAGAATTTCGTCGGCAACCGGTTTATATAGATTGCTCATTGGTTGATGACCTAAAGAACATGGCTGCCGTTCGCCGTGTGTTCTTTTCTTGTGCTTTTTCACTTCTTATCTTTACTTGCCGAGTGTGCAACTAATAATTCTGTCCTAACGTCGCGCGAGTATTCGTGAAACCACAAAGTGAGTGCTTTGTTTGAGTGTGTGAAATTGTCTCCGAGGGCCAGCTATTACATTGGTGGCAGCGGTGGGATTCAAACCCACGCCTCCGGAGAGACTGGAGGGCCAGCTATTACACACAGCACTCCTACTCAGCCTGGTAGAGTAACGACGAACGCACCCTATGAATAGCAGGCAAAATGCAGCTTATGCACAGCTAGGACAACGTGAAAGGTCAGTAGGGTCAAGAGCTGTATGACGCACACTCCCATCAACATACCTTTGCCGGTGGAGGCAATGAAGACTTGGTGGTAACATCCTAGCAACAGACACATCATCAATACAATCAGCAAGTCATACACGTATCGCGAGTGCAAGGAAGGTCATGATGAACAAGGCCTAGATGTGCGATGACCACATGTATTGCCCACTCTACTGGTGTGTAGCTAACGGGTAGTTTACCACTGCTCCAAGGTGAAGTGGGTACAGATTGACTAACAGCTATACATGTACGATACAATGTACAGTGCTGCTCACTGAAATCCAGTCGAGTCACTCAAGTACGCGCCGGGTGTTGCGCAGCCCTGGTCCTACAAACACTGGGCTGTGAAATGGTGCAAGGCACACACTGTGAAATGGTGCAGGGCACACACTGTGAAATGGTGCAGGGCACACACTGTGAAATGGTGCAGGGCACACACTGTGAAACGGTGCAGGGCACACACTGTGAAACGGTGCAGGGCACACACTGTGAAATGGTGCAGGGCACAACGTTGACTCACATGACTGGATTTCATTGAGCAGCACTGTATGTGTCGGATGAACAACGGTCAGGATTCTCAGGATTCGTTCATTCACACGTTAGCACAAGCAGTCTCAGTCTTGACAGCATGTAGTTTAACACAGTACGCCTGACCCTCTCTTATCCATGAGCAACACGCAAGTTGCGAGCGAAAGGTGCACGTAGATCGGACAAGCCCAAAACTTAGAACAATGTACATAATGGCGTGCACTGGGACCTTGTGATACCGGCACGGCATGCTAAAGCTCACAGAACAAACCGAGCATGTCTGTCAATGGTGTACATGCATAGTGCACTGGTACCAAGTACCACTGCATTGCACATGGACTCAGACGGTAGACGGGGGAGGTGACCAGGTTGAGGCAGGGCTGGGTGAAGGAAGAGAGGGGGGGGGGGGGCTGAGAGTACACTAGACAGCCAGAGAGTCACTGCAGCACCATCACAGTACAAAACTCTACAGTAGGCCAGTATGCCGTACCTTCGTGCCTGCCGCAGCTCTGACTGCCTGGACTTGAGATGGAAACGCAATGGACAGCAAATCGTACAACTGCGGGTTGCGGGTTATGAAGTCCACTACAATTCCATCGCAAGTCAGCAGATTCTCGCGAGGCTCCCAGGTGTCATCGTCAGCGCCGAATCCGTCCCATCTAACGCGAAACAACAAGGTTCCATTCTTCTGCAGAGTTGGCAGAAAACAAATTTCGATTCCAATCGAAATACACGTACAATCATGTTACACTCGAAGACCGGCAGTTTATCAAACGGATTATTCGTACCTATAGTTACTGCATAGTCACTGTCCCCGCTAATTTATTCTGCATCTCGTACAACATGCACAGCATAAGCAGCTAGTGTCGCGAGCTCTTCATGACAGGCCGCAGGCAACACCAAACCCAGGCCGGTAAGGCTAGTATTGGTACGACCCATACGGACACGCAATGTCGCCCACTGCATGCAACAGTTACCACGATGCAAAATTATTCTGTGCATGCCACAATACATGTATCATGGCGACTCCGCAAACTCCGCAAATCCTTATAAAAACACTTCAGGAAAATCAATGAAACGAAACGAACCTTTTTCTTCACGTCCACGATCTTGTCTACTTCATAGATACCGCCCTGGCCGAAATTGAACGACGAAGTGTCCTCACCCCCATCCGCCGTGGCCATTTCCAACAACACAGTGAGTGGCAACACGGAGTTTTATGTCCGCGTGGGCTCAGATCAGAAGCCAACAAAGAATCTCTGTAGACTGTAGTACAGAATAGACAGCTAGCGGTACTAGCACATGACCTCTTTGCCACCACACACACACACAGGCAACAGTCAAAGTTCTCCTAAGACGCCATAGTGGCACTTCTGCCTGCAGCTGCACAATGAAGCCACAAGTACTTCAGACAAAGGACTGAGGCGCGCTGGGAAAAATATTAAATTTTTAGTTTGGTTGAAACAAAACTTCAACAAAATGCAAAAAATACTCTTTTGTCTATGAAACAATCATAGTGTCTTGTATATGCAGGGAATGCACACTTACACTGCATACATGTGTGTTCTGACTCTGACTCGTCTGAGCTGAGCTGGTCCAGACCGGCCAGGGAGTCCGGAGCCCTACACAACACAAATGTATTGCTACTGATACTTGATAGCATTATTTTTATGGCTCCCGATCTCTGCTCCACTCCAGTGCACTAGCGAGTCGACTACAGTCAACTTCGCTTATAACGACATTCGGCGGGGCATCAGCAAAGTGTCGTTATTCACAAAGTGTCGTTATACCCGAAGTCTCATTATGTATTTGTAGTTGGATGGAACTTTGCTCTGGGCATGGAAATTCTGTCGTTATTCGCGAATTGTCGTTATATCCGCAGTCGTTATTAGCGAAGTTGACTGTATGCGCAAAAGTCAAGTCTGTGTACCAGTAGTGGCAGTACAGTGCCGCATGCAGTGGTGTACGTAGCTAGATCTACGTGTACACAGCAGGGAGTCGTAAAATACCGGTATTGTACGACTCCCTGGTACAATGACTTTATGTACACAGTATAGAGCGCATATCGCTGATGACGTACGTATATTCGGTGTGCGTTTTACAAAAAATAAAAGAATGGAAAAGGCGGGAAGCGGAACGACACGCGAACAGGGATCGTCGTCATCGTCGTCTTGGACCCAGATGTTGTACACTGTATCACGGTTTTGAGTTGCAGATTCAGATTCAGCAGTTCAGATTGTGTTGGGAATTAAATATTTGCCTCTTCGTCCGTGTCTGCTTGCTTCTTACTGTTACAAAAATACGAGTAGTGGCTCCAACTAGGAATTATACCATGGCTTCGAAAAGAAAGTCGAAGCAGTTTGTGGAAGATTCTGACTCCGAAGAGTTCTTGGATGATGAGCCAAAGAAAAAGGTAGCAGCAAAGAAGAAGACCAAGAGCGAAAACGATTTCTTCGAACTATCAGGGAAGCGACGACTGAGTATTAGTGAATTCAGAGGCAAGCTCCTGGTGGACATCAGGGAGTTCTATGAGGCAGATGGTGAGATGAAACCTGGAAGGAAAGGCATCTCGCTGTCCCTGGACCAGTGGGAAAAACTGAAAACATTGATTCCACAGGTTGATGAGCAACTGGCAGCGAAGAAATAAGTGCAGAATTTCAACTTGTCCCAAAATTTCAGGCACGGCTTGACTCTAAATGACTCGCGCAGGTACAAATTCATTTCACTTCGCTCAGACTTGCATTCAAAAAATATCTTTTTTTATACCACCCTCCTTTTTACTCTTTTTTACCATTATTAACCATTGGCACTATACTATAGTTGAGACAGCTATGTAGAAAGACAATTGGTATGAGTAGTTGAGTCCATGTAATAGCAAGCACTAAAGGTTCTGGCACGTTTCGGTGTAAACTGTCATTGTTTCTTACCACTAACGATTGTAAGGAAATGCCTCTTTTGACTGAGCATGTGTCTGATCATAAACTGATAAAGTGTGCAGACGTTGACAGTCACTAATATTTTATTGTCTGCTTCGTGTGTATTTTAGTATTGAACGTTACAGTAGTTAATTTACTGTGTGTTCGAGTGCTGGCTTGTGCTTCTGATAAGTGTTGCCGAAAGTTTAATGGCTCCAGGGGCGCACTAATGTGCTTTTGCATAATCGACGTGTGTGTTTTATGAAGGTCAGGTGTGGATGCGCACTAGTATGTTTGCATTGCGTGTATGGTTTAAAAAGAAGGGGGGGGGGGTCTTCATCTCCGACTTGGCTCAAGTGTGGGAACTAAGGCGTATCGGTGCATGTGTATGTTGTGTTGCGCCGGCATGGATACACCCTGCTTACATGTAGTCTGTATGCAGCGGCACTGCCAGATTTGTTTGACCAGGATCACAGTGGGTCTCGAGCAGAAGGACATGGAGGCCCACTTTCCCAAGTACCCCGGGCTTGAAAAACGGGAACCTAAGTCCTTCCAGCCTGGTGATGAAAATGCAAGCACATAATAATTATTATAGTTGTATATTAAACTCCCCTTCAAAGGGATGCGGGCATGTAACACGCGCATTATTTTCTATAAACGTGGTTTGGAGCACAGCCTGAGTCGTGAAAGAAAATGTGAACTTTTTCACCTGACCTCGAGAGAACAACTCTTGCCAGTGCAATTCTCCTGCAGTGCAGTCATGACAACATCAACAACAAAATTCAAGCCAGAGAATGATAAAAGTAATCACTCAACTGTCCAACGGAAAAAGCAGGTCACTGGGAACAATAATTGATGTTCTAGTGTATCTGAAAAGTTAAAACATGTAGATGCGTGAATCGGCAGAAGAGTTCCATACGGACCGTTCTGCAATGTAGTGTACTCTCAAACTGAGATTAGAATGCGCATGCACAAACTCCTCAAACCGCTCCAAAGTAAAATTAATCTTGTAAGTTTTAAAAATGCAGCATGCACAGCACCTAGTACCTACACGAACAATCCTAGAATATCCTGGTTTGTCGGCTCGAAATTATAAAATCTTAAAGAATTCCGAACTGTGCCTAAAATCAACACCGTTGTTTTCCTGAATATTGGAGATATCAAGTAGCATAAATTTATAGATGACCTTCCATAACAAGTATACAGTATTTTGTCTGCTCCAGCTCAACAGTGAATGTTAATTTCTTCCATATTGTACACAAATATAACCTGGTCTGAATGTGTATAGCGAAACATCAATTGGAATTATACGTCACAATCCAAACGTTAAAGTACCCAAAAATTTCAAGGCTCGCGTTAGAGTAAGTCAGACTGAGTTTTCCGCGTCCGTAGGTTAGCGTACCAGGAGCATCTCGTAATCGTCACCAAAGAGCTTGCGCTTGCCTGGAATCAGCTTAGTGGATGCAGGTGTGTAGCGCACAATCCACGCACACCTGCGTCGGCTGGACGTGTTCGGTGGTGAGTTGTGCGGCAGCCAGGCGTCGTGAAATGACGCCTCGCCCCGTTTCAGTACCAACGTCACCGCCTGGTCCTCGTACGGTGCAATGGCATCCTGGCGAATGTTCAGATCAAAGTGAGCACCTCCCTCCTTCGACGTTTGTTCCACGGGAAGGTTTTCAGAGCGGGCCGTGGGCGCGACCGTGAAGTTAATGGTCTGCATGGCACCATTACCAGCATCGGCATCGTCCACCGCCAGCCACAGTGAAGTGACCCGCAACGGGTTAAGCGGCCAGTAGTTAGAATCTTGATGCCACGGCACTGCATATCCGGTACGGGCCGGCTTGCTCAGTATACGAGTGGTAAATATGCGCACTCCATCACTGTCCAGCAGCTGTGATGCCAAGTCCAGCACACGCGGGTGCGATGCAAGCTCCAACAGCCACGTGTCGTTGAAATGCAGGTTTAGAAGGTCTTCCGAACGCACCTTGCCGTCTTTCGTCGCAACGCTTATTCGCTCGTCCAGACCGGCTCTGATTGCAGCCATTTCCTCATCGCTGAACAGGCGACCGGTACCAATGATACCAGCCTTGCAATACTCTTCCACTTGCTCAGCTCTGAACTTGACTAGCACTTCAGGCTGGCTATGCCGAGCTTGCCAAATGATTACAGCAGCTAGAGCTGCGCACGTGACTGTTCCAGCGTGTCTCAGCAAGGAACCCATTCCGTCGTCAATGTAGCCTGTTCTTAAATGACGCGGCACACTTTATAACTGCTACGCGGCTATCTACAGCATGCCACTGTGCCGCACTCAAACAGTACACCCACTAGAGATTATAGACTATACTAGTGAATATAAAAATAATTACAATCTTAGCTCACTAGCCGGAAGTGTGTCACGTTATGCATGCACTGCCGCCTACAGGATGTGACCTGACCATCAGCTAGCCTCAGAAACTAACTTCCTGACTTGGGAGACGAGCAATGATGGCCGGGAAAGTGATTTCCCTGAGCATCCGAGATCGTCGAGTCTGTGACATCGAAATAATTGTCAATCTCTTTTCTGACATCTCCGAGAATTATATTTTAGCCCGGGTGCATCACCATTTTTCACGAATGTCAGGACTCAAATCTACGTTGCCATAGTAGCAAACAGCGCCATCAATCAGCGCTATGCAGCACCAACATGTCAACACTGTAGTAGAGGTAGAATCTGTATATGAGTCTGTGTATTTTAGCAGACTACTATACTGTAGATCTACCATGTGTACAGACTAATAACTAGACTAGAGCTACAAAAGTAGAGTAGTATAGTGCCATTACTATGGCATTAGTGGTCAGTCAGAGATAGTCACAATCTGGAAACTAATGCCGTAATCAGGTAATGGGCCTTGTCATTTATATAATATGCAGAAGATGATCAGAATGATAGTTGTGGTTCTCCGGAATGATAGCCCACATGTAAATCCTTTACTGGAGACCAATACTGCAACACTCAAGGATTCAAGGTCATCACTCAGTTAGTAATAACGTTAGCAACGGGTACATCACACCAGCAGTGCGTCTCCTCGTCTCAAACAAGGCCGTTCTGTACTTGCGCGTTAGCAATCGACAGAGTCAGAGGACAATTTTTCAGGAGTAGCGTGCCTTTTCGGATTCAAAGTGAACTAACAACCGTGACGAAGTCAGACTTGGGCTAGGCTAGAGTTGGACTCGCGGCAAGCAATGGTTGACTGCTCGCCGTCCCTGCTCTCCACTGCTCTGCGAGATGAAATCTCGGTGCTCACGAGGAGAACTGTGACGACAACACCAGCAGCGACGACAGCAGCCACGACAGCAGCCACAGCGTTTACGTTCATAGAGTGAGTAGACTTACGCCTTAGAAAGTTAGTTAGTTACCATGGTTACAAGTACATGTGCGAGGCTAGATTCGGCGAGCGAGGGGGTTGCGGTGTGCGTGTGTGTGTGTGGGGGGGGGGGGGGGGGGGCTCATGGGAGAACACATCTTCAGTTGTCGTGGAGAGGAGACGTCAACCTTGTGATGGATTTTGATATTGCCAACTGGCACCAGTTTATCATTACATGTAGAGGAGACGGTTTCAAATTGGAAATAGGTTGCCAACCGAAACGGACTCAATATTCACTTTCTCTCTTGGTATTTTGATTAGAAAACATATGTCAGAGTCAGACTACAATGTGTTATCCTCCGAGCCAAAATTTCATAGCTCTGCGATGACCAGAAGCGATATACCAAGCAGATGAGTTTTTGACGTGTTGCTTCGCACTGCGACTTGAGTTTTACGTCTTTCGAAAAATCAACTTCTTGTCGCAGGTAAACAGCCGCTCGCCTCTCGCCAATAAAGCACCTTATAGTTATACCAATGAAAACTAATGGAAGCACACACAAGGGTTATTGTTACTCTGTACTGGCCGTCGTCACAGTGGAGCGATAGCAATTAGACATCCTTAGCAAAAGTACGATAACGCTAATTTTTACGGTACTCACTCCCAGCCGTGACAAAAGACGTTATCGGATAACGGAAAAACGTTACAGAGCTCAAAATAACGGGCCGACGTTCGTTATGGAAATTCTGCAAAAAATGCAAAAACTCGCATTGTTTTGTAACTGGCGGGAGATAAAAAGCACGTCGTGCAGATCGAGATGAGATCGAGAGTCGAGATTGCTTCCTCTTGTGACATTTAGCTTTTTTGGCGAGTTTTGCCTTTCAGTTGACAATTTCTGCGTTTTCTGCTTCGTGCCTTTCTCCCTCTATCCCATCTGGAAAACAAAGGACCAGTTCCACGGCACTCCTGAGGAAGAAATTCATCGGCCTCTCCCAGACGTGCTCGAGCTGGTGAACCCTTACAGTCTTCGGTGCTGCGTTTAGGAAAGGGTTTCCAAGGACCTGGGAACAGCGAAAACTCATTTTCCCCGTGCTTTTGCTATTCCAGAGTAAAAGACCTCGCCAAGGTATTCTTTCGGAACGACAGCAAACTAATCCCTGGTTCAAAATTTTGAATTTCCCGCACCTGTCTTCACGAAAATTCATATCGCCATGGTTGTCACGACTACTTCGTCTCAACTATAATGTACTTTGTGCTAAGGGAAAAGTCAGCTTGAACGATCTGAAGTACGGAAAGGTTTGCGTTTACGTTAGCGTTTTTTTAGCTAAGGATATCTATTACCTAATTTCAGAACTCAGAATGAATTTGACGTGCACTCTAAAACCTTTCCGGTTTGGAGCCACCTCTGATTTGAAGCGAAAAATTGGGCAACTTGGAGGCAACGGGCCAACACAAGGGAGTGACTCAGTTCGATTGACTCTGGCTTCAGAGCAAACTTCAACATGCCAGTTTCCTTCCACAAACATATTTCGAGTGAACAATCCACACTGATGATCGGTTTGGGTCCATACAAATTTGGCTGTCAAACCGTTCCGTATCGAACCGTCCCCTCTACATATAATGTAATCTTGACACAAGGCAGAACAACAGAGACCAAAAAGCTTTCTCGCCTCTGTTGTTCCGCCTTGTGCCGGAAGTACGCTCTGCCCTTGTTAGGGTATTGAGCACTATTTGCAGCAAGGACTTCAGACACTTTGTCTACAATGTAATATTGTATGTCAGAATGCTATGGTGAATGATGACTGCATACATTCGATACTCATTCACATCTACATGTACATGTACATGTAAGTCTAAGGCCAAACACCTCGCTGCACACATTTGAGCACCTACTATATAGTCACAGATGCAGCTTGAGCTGGTTGAGTGATACATGTACACACTGACAGACTTGGTCACTGTCGTCGGATAATCCCAGTCTGAGTTTGTGGGTCAGTCAAGCAGCCCTTTATACTTGTGCCAGCAAATTCACCATGGCCTCATAAGTACTGAGTACTGTAAAACGGGTAACTATTGCGACGTAAACATGTTTGCGAATTTTGCGAGAGGCCCCGAATCGCAAACTTTGAACAACGCAAACTCGCGCCATTTAAAGTTCAGTGCAAGGACTGACTTGACTGTGTAGAACGACTGTAGAACGACTCGCAAACATTAAACAGCGCAAACCAGTCTCAATTTGTAAAACGCAAACATTTATTGTCGCAAACATTACCCGTTTTACAGTACCTGATGACATTGCTAGTAGGGGAGAAAGTGTAACACGGAGACTGAGCGATGACAACATGCATGTACATTGTACATTGTACATGTATCTCATGGCCTTCCACGTCGGTGTCTACATTGTAGTATCAGGGCATTGCCAAGAATGTAGATTGTACGTATCCACCGGCAACATTCAGATTTGGAGATGTGGCCTTATTCTTCATTTAGAATTTTAGTACCATGCATCACAGTGACATGCAAATTGCACATGTAGACTCATTGGAAGCTTGCTACTGGGCTTGCAATGGGCCAGCCCTCGCTTCTTCTTCTGAGCATCTTGTGCCAGTTAGGTTTGCGAAGCGAATTGAATGTACCCGACTCACACCATGTACAGGTAACTCCATAGCCCTGAGCTGAGGAGGGTCACAGTTCATAGCCCTGAGCTGAGGAGGGTCACAGTTCATAGCCCTGAGCTGAGGAGGGTCACAGTTCATAGCCCTGAGCTGAGGAGGGTCACAGTTCATAGCCCTGAGCTGAGGAGGGTCACAGTTCATAGCCCTGAGCTGAGGAGGGTCACAGTTCATAGCCCTGAGCTGAGGAGGGTCACAGTTCATAGCCCTGAGCTGAGGAGGGTCACAGTTTTTCCGCATAAGCCGGAGGAGCCCCATGCATGGGTTATCAATCTCATCCTAAACCATAACATTCAAGCAAAATACATCACGGTACTCCCTTTGCAGGGGACTGGCCTATCACTGTATCAGTGTCACCTGCATGATCACGGTCTTTGAACTAGGGTCGTCGGAACCAAAGGAAAATAATTTCATCTTGTGATTTGGAAGCAATGAAATAATCCTA